GATCAAAGCCCTGGCCCTTCATTAGTGGCAGCATCCAGGACCTTCATTAGCATGTGATGAGGGAGCCCAGAAGAGCACAGGAGGATGGGGAGGAGGTGTGGAGAGGGAACAGCACCTTCCTAGAGGGGTTTTTGCCTCTGCTTCTCAGCTCTGCAAGCCTCAACGGACACCAGGCCCTTGCTGTACCCTCCACCCCAGCCCCCTCTGGGGACTCTGCCAAAGCCCTGCAGTCACAGGGACAGTGACAGTGACACTGAACCCCTGCCCTGCATTGACCTGGCTTAACCCAGCTCAGTGCTTCAGTGCTTTCTCTCCCCAGGGTGTGTTTCCAGCCTGATTACCTCCTAATTTCGTCTCCTATCTCCTTTTGCTCTGCCTCGCTGCCTCTGCCTGCCTGCTCCCAGCACAGGATCCTCCTCCTCCTCATCCCACCTCCCAGACTGGGCCCTCCCTGAGCTCCTCGCCAGCACTGCCCACAGAAAGCAAAGCAAGAACCCATCTCCTGCCAGAGTTTAGCTCCTGCCCATGGGCTGAAGGGTTTCCAAACACTCTGGGGACACCCCCTCTTGCCAGGGCACATCCCATGCCCATAGGTTTGCTCCATTGATGCTCAGGCTGCAGCTTCACACTACAGCCAGGACCCCTCCAGCACTTCTGTCTTTGCAGACTCCCTCTAAATTAGATTCTTCTCTTTATTATCCCTGCCAACCCCTTAGGAGATGGGAAACAGCTTTATCTCCATCTTTTTCCCTTTTAATTTCTATTTGTTCACCAAAACATGGGTTTCCTTTCTTTTCTGGGAGATAAACACACCTGTTCTGGCTGCATCCCAGAGGCAGCACATCCCCAGCATGTGGTGGGGGTAGCAGCTCTCACAGCCCTCAGCTGATGGAGACCTCATTCACAGCCACTAAAACACGAGTTTTAAAGCAGAAGATGGTGAGGAAGAGAAGCCAAGAGGTGTGGAAATCTGGGTGCTGTTGGCACCCTGAGCAGGCTCCCAGGAAGGATGAGAAGGAGCAGGGCACAACCTGAGAGCTGCTCATGCAGCCCCAGAGGGACAGGGATCCCTTGCTCCGCCCCATCCCATCCCATCCCGCCCCATCCCATCCCATCCCATCCCATCCCGTCCCGTCCCGTCCCGTCCCGTCCCGTCCCGTCCCGTCCCGTCCCATCCCATCCCTCTATCCCGTGACTAATTTGAGATGCAGTGGCCATTTTAACTAGGCTGCTATAAATATTCACGGGCTGTGAAAAAGGAGCCTGCCTCGTGCCCGGCTGCCAGGCCAGGAGGAAACACGAGGGACAAGGACCAAACCCTCCCTGGTGGCCACGGGAGCACAGAGACCCCAGAGGTCACTGGCACATCCCAGTTCCCATCCCGCTGTGATGGGGATGCCCGGTTGGTGCACACCTTGCAGGTGGCCCGAGCCAGCTCGTATCCAAATTGTGGTTGAACACCGAACCGGTTTCCTGGAGGTCGTGACATCCTCAGCAGAGCTGGGCGAGCGCACCCGCCCCGGCAGTGGCCCCGGCTGCCACAGCCGAGCCCGCATCCCGCGGAGCCGCTGTCACGGCAGCCTCGGGGCTGCTGAGCTGCACCAATTCCAAGGAATCTTGTGCTGAGCCGCAGCTGTGCCGAGCATCGCCCCGAGGATCGCCTGTCACTCACTGCCACGTCCCCAGCGCTCCCTCCCAGCCCCAAAAGCCTCATCCCAAAGGGATGTGCAGCCCCATTTCTGCATTTCTAAACACCTATTGATTGCTCCTTCATACTCTTCACCCCGTATCGATCCACTTGAGCTTCTGTGGCTCAAACTAAATTAGCTGTCGTTAATCCAGGGATAATTGCAAGCCAGCTTGTCCCAGATTCATGGGTGTCAGGGACGGGGAGGAGAGTGCTGGGTCACACAGGGACATTCAGGTTTCTCCTCCGTGGGTAAAAACCCCAAACAAGCCAGCAGCCATCAGCCCAGAGGCACCAGGGAAGTTGCCTCGGGACATCCATGCTGCAGCCAGAAACCTGGCTCCTGTGGCTGGGAGCTGCTATTCCAGCAGGGGATTTGGCCCCAAAATCTGGGCATTGCCTCCCAGCTCCAGATTTCCCCAAACCTCAGGATTCCCGATGTGGGTTTTAGTCTCAGGTGGTACCATGAAATAGTGAAATAGTGCTGCCTGCTCCTGCCAGGCTGCAGGACACAAGGAGTTAATGCCAAATTCCACCCGGCCATGGGGAGAGGAGCAGACTCAGCCCTCCTGGAGTCTTGGATAAAACCCCAGATGGAAAGCAGAGCCTGTTCCCCTTTGATTATCAGCCCAGGCTCCCTGGCAGCCCTCTGCATCCCTCTAATTTAGCAGCTCACAAAGGGCCGAAGGCAGTGGAGATGCCACTGTCACCTCACCTGCAGTGACAGCCTGGCACAGCACCTGGGGACATCCCCATGCTGGTGGCAAGGCCATCCCTGCACTGCAGCTCTGATTCCTTCTGATTCCTCACCCCCAAAACTGCCCTCCCACCCAGGCACCCACAAACCTGCACCTTCCTCTCTGGACATCCTCCTCTGCCCTTCTGTAAAGCCTCCAAAATAAATATTTAATTTTGATTTAATGCAACAGTTACCACAGTCAGTAAATACCAAAACCATATTAAAGGAGGATTAATGGCCATGTGCACCCCTGGCCTGGCCTGCAATGACCAAGTGTCCATTGCATAACCCTTAACTGGGTGCCAATGGCCTCCTGCTGTGCCATAGGGCCCTCAGCCATCCCTCCCCACCTCCCCATGCCTTCCCAGCTCTGGCCAAGGCTGGCAGTCCCTTGAGACACAGCTGGGATTGCTGCAGCTGCCAGGCAGGAATGGGAGACTTCCAAGTGGTAACATGGTTCTAAGCATTGGCCTGTGGGTGCAGAGCCTGTTCAGAGCAGCTGAGCATTCAAAGGCAGCCAGCCCGGGAAGAGCTGTGGGTTCCTGGAGCACACAGGGGCTCTGGGAGTGGCCAGGCAGGGCACATGCTCCAGGGCCATGCAGAGGGGATGCAGGGTTTGGATAGAAATGGCCAGGACATGCTTTTGTGGGAGGGAAACTGAGGCAGCAGCTGAGTGACAGGGGACACTCCCCAGAGTCCCCACAGCACAGCCTGGCTGTGTCCCCTTGGTCCCTGGCACCAATCTGCATAGAAGGTCAGTTTAAAAAGAAAGAAGCACGTTTTGAGCAAGTGTTAGCCAGGCTCAGCTGCAAATTCACTTGTCAGGAATATTGGAATTACTTGGAGCTGGATGGAGTGAACATCTGTGCAAGGCAAACGCTGAGGCAGGGAGGGGTAGCAGGAGCTGCTGAGCCCCCCAGCCCTCTCCACTGCTTGCAGACTCCATGGGATGCCAGGGAGGGTTAGGGCAACCCAGCATGTACCCCCACCCACATCCTGCTGCAAGGGGACCCCAGCAAGCACCCCAAATTACCCAGGAGAGGAGGCTGGAACTCACCATGGCAACTTGCTGGCTGCAAATTCCCTCTGGGTGAACACTGGAGTAACAGGATTGCCTTTGGAGGGACTCCTCATACCAGCCCCACATCTCCTGCCCCCCTGCACCTGCCTGTCATAGGTTCCCTTAATATTTTGGGGCATTATGGAGATTTTCCATCCCTTTCAGAGCAACCACTGATCAGCACTTCCAAGCCTCCTCCTGCAGCCGCCCCCAGCTACCAAAACCTGTCTGTTCATGCCCAAAATAACCCTCAGGCAGGAGCTAACCATCCACTGAGGCATAAGCAGATCAGTGCTCAGGTGCTGACTATTTGGCCACCCAAGTGTGGGACAATGGGTGCTCACGTGTGAATTAGCCATGTGCCCAGGTTAAGAAACCTCATTATTTTGCCCGAAGTACCTTCTCAAAGGCCGGATTGCCCAAATTGCACCCCCACGTGTGTTTTGGTATTGACACTGCAGCAGGAGGCAGGCTTAGGACACTCTTCTCCATCCCCCACAACAAAGAGCTTTCAAAGCCCATTTCCCATTGATGTCACATCAATGCCACAGGAGATAAAAGCTGAGAGATCCAGAACCAGTGCTGGGTTTTCCAGGGAATATTAATTAGAGGGAAAGCCTCATTAGCACAGCAAGGGTGGCTGCTTACACTGCCTCCCCCTCACCCCGTGTGTCCCAGACCCCCCAAAGGGGCATGGTGGGTGTCAGGCCCCCATCTGCCTTGGTGGTCTGAGCAATGGGGTGCCCTGCACATCCCCCAATGTCAGTGTGAAATGTTCAAGGCGTTTTTTATTAAAAAGACACCAAGACACTGTTTCTCCCCACCCGTGGCTGCTGGGGCTCCCAGGTGAGCCCTGGGCAGGAGGAAGTTCCCCCCGTGCCATCTGCAGCAGCCTGATGGCAAACCCAAGTGCTTGTGGGGGAAAAGGCAGCACATCAGTTATTTGATGTGCTTTTGGAGAGCTTTTTTGACAGCTCTGCAGCTGGAGAGGAGCAGGGTGAGTGCAGGATGCTGCCTCCAGCCACCCTGAGCCTCTGCACTAGTGGAGAATTCCTCTGCATCTGCCACCAAAGGGAAAATAGACACTGTGAAGTGGCACAGGACCCCTGAACCCAGAGATCCCACTCCATCATCCTCCTGAGAGCCTGGGCAGCACCCACCAGCCCTGCCTCCTGGTAACTGCCCCAGAAAACAACCCTTGCAGCAAAACAGCATTTGCCATGAAATTGGAGGGTTGGTGACAGGAAAGGACAGGAAGCACCACTGGGAGGGTTTAACCACCATAACCACCACTGAGGAGCAGCACCCCAAGCCTAGCCAAGGGGTACCAAGGGGTCCAGAAGGGGGGCTGCAGCAGAATTCAAGCAGAGCCACCTCCTAGTAAGGCCATAAAGCCCAGGAGTGGCTCCAGGAACAGGCAGAGTATGGGAAGCACAGGACATGGCCACCAGCACCCAGGGACAGCAGCAAGGCAAAGGCACCTTGGAGGACAGAGGTGCCACAACAACAGTTACTCATCACGAAGAATTTCTCGTTCTTTTTTATTTTGTTTTACTGAGAGGTGAAGCCAATTCATCCTGACAGAGGTTCACAGCACAGCTCTGCCTGGAGGCTGTTCACAGAGACACCAACAAGTGACACAGGATGGGAGGAAAGCACTCTGTGTCTGTGCCACAAGGGGCTGGAGAGCACCAAAATGGGCTCAGCAAGCACTCCAGCCACCTCGGGGACAGCTGCCACTCTGGCATCTCTGTGGGCTTCCCCACAGACACTCAGCACCAGCCCTGCTCTCTGAGGATGCTCTCCCAGCAGATACAAACCAATTCACTCTGAGCACTTCTGAGGATGGTGTCAAATCAATCCCCACAGCAAAGATGCCAAGTTAAAAAAAAAAAAAAAAAGGCAAAAATCCCAGAAGAAAGTAGGCAGACATCTGCCAAACCAGCAATTTCCAGCTGGATTTCCAGAAACACTTCAGGCTTTTAAAACCAAGAGAGGAGAGAAAACAAAACCCCTCCTCTTCCACAAGCATAGAAAGCACTCAGATGAAGTGCAAAATTCCAAATTGACTTCAAAGGCATTTCTCCTGGCTAGCTACCCCCAAATCCTGGCACAACCCACTAGAAAGCCAGTGGGCAGTGCCATTTTGCTGCCAGATGACAGCACCCAGGCAGTTGGGGTGTGAGGTGCCGTGCTGGGGAAGCCCAGGGTGTCAGAGGGATGCTGAAAACCTGGTACTCACCCATTTGGAAGCAGGGAGGACAAGGAGGGAAGGAGGGGTGGAAAGGGAGAATAAACTTTACATCAGTTGTAATCAGCAGGTTTTTTCCATGCACTATATATTGTTAATGTATGTTACAATCTCCTCTGCAGCAGAAAAATACCACAGCTGCTGGAGCCAGGAACACTTTTAAGAGCACTTCACTCCCAAGTCATCCAGGTGCTTTTGACAGTGTTTATCCTGGGTTGCTATAGGAACCCTAACAGTTTTCCCATCTGACTTCTCCATTAGCACTGGGATTTATATTTAATTTGTTTTCCTTTTCCTCAGCAAGAAGAGGTGAGAAGCAAGCGTTCATACAGGGCCAGGAGATGTTCCTCCATGGGTGTCTCCTGGCCATACCAAAAACACCACCCAGGACCACAGTCAGTGGTGCTGGGACACTGCTGGAAGAACAGTGCAAGCAGAACCCAACCAGCTGCAGGTGAGGAAGGGCACAGCCCCACTGCACTGCTAGGAACCATCTGGGATGGTGCTCAGGGTGGCTCTGTTGTGGGGTTCTCCCATGTTCCAATGCCAGCCTGTCCCCCTCGTGCCTTCCTGCAGGCAGCAGGACTGAGGGGCTCATGGGCCGAGCATCCCACGCAGCTCCTGGACAGAGGTGACAGGCAGGGAGCAGGTGAAGTTGCTGCAGATGTAGGCAGTGGCTTTCCCGTCCTTCCTCTCCAGGGATGCAAGGAAAGGCAGCTGGCTGTAGAGGAACCCAGCGCTGTCTCCATCTGCCACCATCAGCACCTGCCCAGAGAAGGAGCTGTGAGAGCCCAAGAGCACAGCCAGCACCAGCCAGCTGCTCCTTCCTGCCCCACTGACATGCTGAGGGCTGGCAGCATCCCCCCACACTCCCCCAAAATGGGGAGGGGATGGGGAGCTGAAAGAACCCACTCCAGCCCTCCACAGGGTCCCACAGTGGTCACACCCATAAAATGCTTCTTGCATGATGGAGATGTGTCAGCTTTGCCTCCCTTAACCACACCAGACACTCAGCAGCCAGGATGAAGCACAGGGATCAGCACAGCCCAGCCTAGCCAGCTCTTTGGGGACATCTGCCCAGCCCAGGAACAGCCCCAGAAACAGCTGCAGCATTGCCCCATCCCACCTGCAGCCCAGTTCCTCCTTCCCTCCCCACGCTTCCCAGTAAAACTGCAATGAGCAGTGGGTCAGGGCCTCTCCTGGCTGACACAGCAGCACCAGTCAGAGGTGACGACTGGGCTGCCAGGATAATTAGCTTTTCTGAAAGAGAAAATGTTTGTTAAAGCCTTAGGGCTTGCTGGCTAATCAGGAGAAAGGCCAGGAGCTGGCAGCGAGCCTCATGCTGACACACATGCAAAGGGTGAGCAAAAGGCTGTCCTTTCCCAAGGCACAGAGGGAACATCCTGCTGCTGGAGCACACAGCTCTCCCCTGCCCACCCCAGTCCCTGCCCTGCATGTGTCTGCTGAGCATGGACACACTCCCAACATGTCCCTGCTACTCATGCCAATGCCACCAAGGGATGGTGACACCAAATGCTGCCTCTCACCTGGCACGCAGCATCCTCTACACCAGGGCCAGCAGAAGACACAGCACGGGCATCCACAGACACTCACACAGCCTCACTCATGCCTGGCAGGGGCTGCCCACACCCTTGTGTCCCCACGGGGGCACCACATCCCCAAGTGCCTGCCCTGGATAGTGGCTGCTGCAGTCCTGTCCTATCCCCCATCACCCCACATCTGCTTGACCCAGCTCTGGCTCAGTTTGTCTCCCTGCCTGCCTCCTGCTCTCCCCCAATCTCCTCCCCCTTCGCCTTTGTCTGGAATTAATTCCAGGAGTGATTAATTACCAATTCATGTCCAATCTGAAATTCATTATTCATTTTTCTCACAAGCTCCCCAAGGTCCTCTCACGGGGCCAGGATGAAGGCGAGCGGCAGGAGAGCGCTCTGCAGCCGAGGAGATAATGGGATCCTTCATAATTACCCTAAAGACCATTAACAGGGCAGGGATCTATACCAGGAGCTGGGATCCAACCCTCCCTGCCCCCAGCACCAGGACACCCACAGGAACAGCTACCAGCATCACCCCTACTTGCATCCCCACAGAGCTGCCTGCAGCAGAGGGCTACTCCAGACCCAGGGTCCATTTAAAATCACGACCTCAATGCAATCTTATCATCAGCATCTCGTTACAGCAAGGATTTCACGCTGAGGTTTGTAAGGAATTAATTACTGGAACGACCTAATTAATTGTGTTCCTGCACGCAAGCCTGGCCTCCAGCACCCTGAGGGCACAAAGGGAGTGGGGGAGCAGGGGACACAGGCAAAGGCAATTCCCAAATCAGCCATGTCCCTGGAGCAGGTGACCCAGGGCTGCTGTGCTTAGGGGAGCTTCCCGAGGCAGGGAAGGAGATCTGAGGAGCAGCTGGAGGGGGATGGAGGCAGATGGGAACAGGAGCATGCTCGTGTCTGTGTGACACAGCATGGAAAGAGGTTTGGCTGTTCAGAGGCAGTGGGCTGCTCCCAAAGGTAGCAGCAGGATTCTCCCCCCTTCTCCCAATATCTCTGTAAGGTGAGGAGCCATTGCCAGAGATCGTGCTCCTACCACTGCTGCACACTCATGAAGGGGAGATTTGTGTCCACAGGGCTATGCTCTTCTAGGGGAGAGCTTTTCCCTCCTGCCACAATTCCTCCAGGAAACAGGCTCAAGCTGGAACAGCTTCAGCTCCATCCCATCATGGCACCATGAGGAGCACACAAGGGGCAAAGAGAGCTAGACTTCCACCCTACCTGCTGCCAGCCTCCAGGTGCAGCCTCTCACATGCCCCTTGAAGCACAGGGCCCCTGCAAGCAGCCCTGCCATGATCATGGCTTCACTTCCCCATGGAAATATCCATCCAGAATACCCAGCCCTCATCTTCCTCCCTTCCCCAAGGAATGCAAAAGCTTGGGGGAGACAGATCCTCCCCTGGGGAAGGAGCATCCCACCAGCCAGGATTGCCACCAGCTTTGCAGGAGGGAGCCAGTCTGCAGGGCAGAAGAGGACATGGCCGTGCTATTTGTTCTGCTCAAAACCCCAAAACTGCCAGTGTGGGCTCAGGGGACCAAGGGCTGAACCAGCTGTGGGCAGAGGGTTATTAACAGTGGTACTGGGCTGCTCCTGCTAACTGGGTCACCCAGTGAAATCCTTCAAAGGGACAGAGGATGAGTGTGGGAAATAGAGGCCTCACACACAGGAAAGGGACCTGCAGGAGGGTGCTGCTGGATGGTGATGGCAGAGGAAGGACAGAGAGCTGTGTGCCCCACTCGTGTCCCTGGGAATGTGTCCCTCCTCCTCCAATGCTGGCATTAAACATTGCTAGGCACACAGGCAGAGGGTCAGGGGCAACACCCACGTGGGCTGAGCTGATGAAAGGACAGAGCAGGGGATCCTGTGCTGATGGCTCAGCCCTCCTCAGTTCATCCTAGCTGGGTTACAGAGGCAAAGCAGTGCTTTGGCCTCAGCTCCCCACATCCTGAGACTGAACATTCCAGTCCCTGGCAGCAGGACCCAATGGCCAGGGATGAATCCAATCCGAACACCCAGCCCCCTCACTAACAGCCCAGTCCTATTTCCCTCAGCTCCACAACTTTCATGAGACCAAAGCCATCATCCCCAAGGCAGGGACACTGCCCACCAAAGCTGATGGGCACCAGCTGCTGTGCTGCCCTTTCCTGCCAGCTCCAGATGCAGCCAACAACTCCAGCCCCTCTATGGGATGCACGGATACATCTCAAAGTGGGGATGAGGACAAGCAGAGCCAGGCAGGAACCCCAATACACTGTAACTGCCACTGAGTGGGAGAAAAGCTTTGGGAAAAGCCAGCTTCTCCCAACTGCTGGTACCCAGAACTGAAGTGAGGCACTGCCTCAGCCCTTCCAAGGATGCAAGGGTGTCTCCAGGCAGCAGGTGACCCAGACAATAACTGGGTCTGCACAGGACATGACACATCCACACTGGGTATGACACATTCACACCAGAATGAAAGGTTTCCCCTTGGGAAAACACTGGGCTCGGGCAGAGAGCAGTGTAAACAGCCAGCAGCAATAACAACCACTGCTGCAGCCACTTCTGGGCTGGGCTGCTCATGCTCTGTGCAGGGAGAGGGGTGCAGGGCTCAGCTGGGGCCCTGCTGCCTGTGCTTAGATATGAAAAGGACAGGATGCTTCCCAGAAAAGAGGCAGAACAGAGGAGGATGGTGCAACAGCTGCACTGGAGAAAGGATGAAGCACCAGCAGCGCAGGCAGAAGAGACCAGGGCAGGGCTGGCAGGGGACACCTCTACCTTGTTTGGGCTGAAGACAGAGCGGACACAGTGCAGCATCTCTTTGGTGTCTTCTCCTTGGGGGTCCCCACAGATGACAACCTGTCCAGGGTGGGTGGCAGGAGGGAGAAAAGAGAGCTGTGACTGCACCACTGCCTACAGCAGGTCCTGCAGGGGACACTGAGCCCCAGCCCATACCTGTTTGAGGGTGTGATGGAACACAGCAGTGGCCCGGGCCATCTCTGGGAGGGTTATGGGGATCTTCTGCAGCCTCTCTGAGAAGGCAGCCAAGATCTTCCCAGCTTTTTCCACCCACTCCATATGACCAGAGTAACAAGCTGCTCGGAGCAGGTTTGTGACAGTGACAGAGTTAGGGGTGGGCTCTGCTCCATCTTGGTCTGCAAAGGACAACAGCTGCCATCAGCCCAGAGCCTCACCACCACGTGCCATCAGCCCTGACCTCCCACACCACAATCCACAGAACACATGGCCAGGTCCCTGAGCTCACCATCCTTGAGACGCAGGAGCAGGGAGGGATCGCCAGCCTCAGTGGAGAAATAAGCAAAGCCTTTAGGGTCCCAGAAGAGCTTGTCTTGCATGTGCTGGAGATGAAGGGCCCACTCCAGCCAGCCCTGCTCCAGCGAGGCTTCATACAGGTCAAAGAGTGCCTGGATGACAAAGACATAGTCCTCCAGGAAGCCCTGGATGGGCACAGCACTGCAGTGGCAGATGGAAAGAAAATCAGAATCTCTAAACTGAGCAGGGTGGAAATGTTCTCCAACCCAGCATAGCCCTGCTTTCTGGTCTCTGCTGCCACCAAGGAGATGCCACCAGGCAAAGCAATGGCTGTGGCTATCACACAACTCAGCCTCAGGGCTCTCTACAGGAGGGGAAGGCAGGGGAAGACACTTGCCAGCATGAAAGATGAGGAACGGGAAAGGTTTTGACCTCAATTCCTTCTCACTGGCTGGGGGACACTAATCCTTCCTAAACTGCACTGGAGCTCTACAGAAAACAACCAACCTCCCTCCCAGTCCTGCCTGGAAGAGGGGACAGGGACTGCTGGGGGTCTGGGCAGCAGGTGACCAGTCAAGTCTTGGACTCTGATACTCACCTCTGCTCCACTGAGTTGTCCTTGCCCCGGTAGCAGCTCCGCAGGAGCCTCCCACTGTCAGGGTCAAAAAGGTGTTTCCTCAGGAAGGCAGCCGCCTCTGCAGCCCTGCTCACATATCCCTGCTCAGCCAGGGCAGCCCCAGCCTGGGCAAAGCCTGAGATCATCAGCCCTGCAGAGGCAGAGACATCAGGACAGGTTAGGGGAGGCACATGGAAACGGTGAGAGGGTCACTGTCAGTCCTCTGAATGATGCTCAACGTGAAGCTCATCCTCCCTGATGCAGCAGGTCAGGTCTCAGCTCTTCTGCTCGGTTCCAATCACTAATGAAGTCATTCACTGCCACCAAAGAGATGGGCAGAGTACTGTAAGGCCAGCAAGAGCTGAGCCCTCACCTGTGGGCAGATACAGGGCTCAAGACTATTCTAGTTTGCAGGATAACTCCAGCCCATGCCAGCTCCAGACCCAAGCACTCAGGAATTTACTGCTGGGAACAGAGCCTGCAGTTATTCCCTGAGGCAGGGCCCCCAGACAGACACACACAGTTCTGTGACCCCCCACCCACCCATGCAGCAGCGGGGATGGGCTCTGTGCCCACCAGGGTCCTGGGTGCCCAACTCAGACCCTTCCCCACAGCCCAGCCAGAGGAGCTGGACTGAGCCAGGGGAAGAGTTTTGCTGCTCTCTGCTGGCAGCTGGGGAGGGAAATAAAGCCAGAACAGTATCCTGATGCTCCCAAGACGTAGGGCTGCTTCCACACAGCCCACGATCACAGTCCCTGATCCCAGCCTACCCCGTGCCTCTGTGGGAGCTCTCCAGCCCCAGCAGGACCTGTTGCTATCAGGCCCTGGTGGGGGTCCAGCCAAGGCACGTGTTCCCAGAGCGGAGCAGTCTCTCACCATTCCATGCTGCCAGCATCTTGGTGTCCAGGTGTGGGCGTGGCCGCTGTGCCCGGGCTGAGGACAGTCTCTGTCGGCATTCCTGCAGCAGGGCACTCAGCCGGCCCGGCTCCAGCCCGAACCGGGCTGCTGTCAGCTCCAGGGAGCTGCGGGCAATGAGGACATTCTTCCCCTTCAGCTCCTGATGGGGGTCCTGAAGGGAGAGGGAGACACATTCTAGGAATGCCATGGGGCTTGGGAGGTGTTGGACTGAGTGTTTTGGGGCTGCTCTGCCATCCCTACATGCCTATGGATGCAGGTCCTGCTGGCACCAGACAAGTCTTTCCCCTGCCTCACCTTCATGGGGTCCACATTGCCAGCCTCTTCCACTCCATAGTGGTGCATGAAGACATCTCCCAAGGTTGTCCCCTCTGTGGCCCCCTCGACAGGGTCAGGGAGGAGAGCCCGGAGCTCCTCAGCTGCCCACACGCAGAAAGCTCCTTCTCGCTTCTCTCTGGATGTGGTGGTTGGGTAGGAATCTGCATCTTCTGCACTGTAGAAACCTCCTGCCTGGGAAAAGCACAACACAGAGACCCTCCAGCTCCAGGACCGCACTTTCATCCAGCTCCCCATCACTGTAGGGCTGGCAGTTTGGCTAATGAGCCTCAGCAGTGCTCCAGACTGAGCTCAGCTGGGAGGGAAGAGAGGGAAAAACAGCCCAAAGCCACATCCCAGGGCAGGGTAAGTGGCTCCCTTTGGCTCAGCTCAGGGAAGAGCATACCTGGTCACTCAGATCTCGTGAGACATAGAGCAGAATATCTCGGACAACATCAGCAAAGAATTCATCACCAGAGATCTGTGGGAGACACAGGGTTGACATCAGTGTTACATGGTGGGGTGGAGAGACACGGCAAGATATGGCGAGAGATTTCAATTGGAAGAGTTGGCAAAGGAGCATTTGAAAGTCCAAGGATGAGGGATGGATTCAGAGTAAGACCTTCTCAACAGAAGTCTACTATCAGTGAATCCTGCATATCTACCAAGCACAAGTGGACAGCAATGCTGGAGTTACACCGAGGTCAGAGGCAGCAGCATTGTCTGCTGACTTGCAAAGACCAGCCCAAAGGCTGTTTCCTCCCCCATTATGCTCAAAGCCCTGGGGCTACACTGTCAGGAGTTTGTGCAGCACTTCTGGATAAACAACAGGAGATGAAGATTGGATTGCTCCATGCCCATATGATGGGGAGTATCTTGGGGAACAGGCTTTGGGTCCCCAAACCAGGCCAGTCCTTGCAGCCTGCAGGAATTGGAGCTGCACAGAGGGATGCCAGAGCTATACCTGGAAGGCTTTGCTGTACATGGCTGCCAGCTGTCCCTGGTCGTAGAGCATCTTCTCAAAGTGAGGGACATGCCAGTGCTGGTCGGTGGAGTAGCGGTGAAATCCCTGCAGAGACCATGTGAAGATGTCTCTACCCCGCATCTCCACCCCACACTTTCAGGGCATGACAGGGGCTCACCCCCAAAGATTTACTCCTACCTGACCAATGTGGTCATGGATGCCCCCATGGGCCATCATCTTGAGGGTGTGCAGAGCCATCTGCAGTGCCCGGGCACCTTCTGGAGTTGTTCGGTGCAGGGCCCAGTACGTGAACAGGAAATTCAAATTCACTGAAACACAGGGAGTAAAAAAGAAGGCTGTGGAGTGGGCTCTGCCCCCACGGTGCTGTCTGCCTCACAGCAGGTCTCAGCAGCAGAGATCAGACTGACCTGGAGTGGGGAACTTGGGGGATTTGGAAAAGCCACCATAGTCCTCATCATAGGATCTGGAGAGCTGCTGGAAACAGGTGTCCATCACCTCTTTGGCTGGTGGGGGTGACTCCTGGCCCTGCACACGGATCTCTGATGTGTGCTGCAATGCTACCAGGATCCTCTGGCTGCTCTCCAACAGGGCATCTTTGTTCTCCTTCCACTAAGATGCAAAGGGAAAAAGACAGTTGCTGTTCTTTCCTTGTACCAGTCCAAACCACACCTCTAGTTCTCAATAACCCTCCCCAAATCAGCTCAAACCCACTTCTAACCAAGCCAAAGCTCTGGTTTGCTCTCTGGGCTACTCTTCCTCACAAATGAATCTCCTAACTCTGTCACTCTTCAAGCCCAGACCAATTTCCCTGTGCCCCCTTTGGTTCAGCCCTGCCTGCTACACCATTCCTGCCCCGCACCTGCTCCGCAATCCGCAGCAGCACAGTCCGAAAACCAACACGATGAACTCCATCCTCAGGAGGGAAATACGTGCCCCCAGCAAAGGGCTTGAGGTCTGGGGTCAGCCAGACACTCATGGGCCAACCACCTCCACCACTGGTGGCCTGAAAAACAAAATGCATGTGCACCAAGGTCACACAAGAGGCACCTGCTCTGTGCCCCTCCAGCACATCCAAGAGCCTCACTCAAAGACAGATGTGTGCTTCTGTTCATCCTTGAGACCCACCCAGACCACCCCTTATACTGGTTCCACTTGCCTGAGGAACATGAACACAAACAACACCCTGAGGAAGCCAGTCAAAGCCTCCTGGGCCCTGCCTGTGCCTCCCTCACCTGCACAAAGGTCATGTACACTTTGTCCACATCTGGCCGCTCCTCACGATCCACTTTGATGCACACAAAGTGCTCATTCATGATGTCCCCGATCTCCTTGCTCTTGAAGGACTCCTCCTCCATGACATGGCACCAGTGGCAGGTGGAGTAGCCAACTGCAAACAAGCTCAGGTAGGTGAGCAATGGTCCTTTGCAGGGAGTAGGAAACACATGATGGGGAGAACACTCAGAGACGGGGACCCTTGCTATGGGCAACAGCTACTGCTTCCCTAGACAAGAGATCCAGCTCTTGCTCCTAAAAGCTGGCCAGGATCCTGGTCCTGCATGTAGCCCATTTTCAGAGAGAGCTACTCCAGGACATGATCCTCTCTTGCTTAGTGGTCATCCATACGTACTCACACACCAGCTTGGGATGCAGCTCAGCTTATCTAATCATCTACTGACCGACACGTGGGGACATGAAATATGCCTTGTTTCTGGTTACCTGACAGGAATATCAGCTTGTTTTCTGTCTTTGCTTTATCAAAGGCTTCCTGACCCCAGGGGTACCTGTAGGGGGAAGACAAGAGTCCCTGAGCCCCAGGGGCACAACGAGAGGAGGAAGAGGAAGGGCGGGGGGGGGAAGGCTCCCCATTGCTCTTACCAATCCACAGGGTTGTGGGCGTGCTGCAGGAGGTACGGGGACTTCTCATTAATCAGGCGGTTGGTGTGACGAGGGACAGTGGGGGGGCTGGGTGTCCCCACCGTGGCCATGGCTGCGATCCCCGTTAGAAATGTGCGCCTGTGACACCAAACGGGCTCAGGGGTTCCCTGCTCACCACAACAAAGCTCAGCCTCCGGACAGAGCCATGACAGACCAGACCATCAACACCACCAGCCCAGGTCCTACAGGGTTCTGCTCCCCCGCCATGGGAACCATTCTCAGCCCCAACCCTGGGTAGCTCTGCTGGGGCTCAGTCCACCTCAATCCCCCCCTAAGACCTTACAAGTCCTTCCCACTCACTGGAGCGGGGGGTTGTTCTCCTCTCACCCCTCCCAAGGTGGGGTGAAGGCCATTCCCAGGGCTGCCCCCCACCAGCACACTTTGGGGGCACAGTCAACAGCTGGAAATGCAGGAGCAGCACCTGCAGGACCTGACCTGCGTGTCCTCAGGGAGAACATCCCCTCCCGTGGGATGGGAGCAGGCAAGGGGGGGCACAGGCTCTGTATGGCGAGAAGAGTGAGGGGCAGGAGGGAACCAGGGAGAATCTCGTGCTGCTGGGCAGAGGCACGGTTTGGGGATGGGGATGGAGGAGGGATGCAGGAGGTGGGAAAGGAGTGCAGAACGGGGGTACAGAGTGTGTAAAATCGTGCAGGGGCTGCGGTAGTGCGAGGAGGATTTAAGGCGGATACAGGGGGATGCAAACGGGAAGGATGTCGGAGAAGGCAGGAGAAGTGCACAGGTGCGGAAAGGCTATAGGAGGGACACAGGAAGGTGCAGGGAGGATCTAGAGGAGTACAGGGCGTTGCAGGAGAATTCAGGGAACGCGGACGCTGCAGCGAGGATGCGAGAAGCACAGGAGAGATGCGGGGAGGATCCGCGGAGCGGTGGGGATGCGGTGACGGCGCAGCGGGGTTGGCGGGGGGCGCAGCCACCGCGCCCAGGGCCGGACCCGCCCCCCCGGCCCCTCCGGTACCTGCGGGCGCAGCGCAGCGGCGCCAACATGGCGGCGACTCCCGGGGCCCCGCCCCGTTACCGGGCCGGCCCCGCCCCCGAACAGCTGCCGCGCCAATCACCGGCCCCGCCACAATGAGACCCCGCCCCTCCCGGCCTCGGTCCCGCCCCTGACTCGCCATCGCGCCAATCACTGGCCCCGCCCCATTGAGGCCCAGCCCCGGTCCCGGCCCAGCCCCGGTCCCGCCCGGCTGCCGCACACCGCGGTGGCTCAGCGCAGTTTACTGTCGCACGGGGCACTCACAGACTCACACCGGGTCGCTCGGCGCAGTTTATTGTCGCAAGGGCACCCGCAGCCACCGCCGCCGTCGCAGCGCCCGAGCACCGCCGCCCCCGCCCCTGCAGCGGCGCCCGGCAGCGGGCGAGGGGACAGTGGCGGCGGGACAGGGGCGAGGGGGAGCCCCGCGGGGTGGGAGGACCCGCGGCTCCCAGCCCCGTCCCCGCGCTGCCCCGGATCGCCGCGGTTCTGCGGCAAAGCCCCGCCACGCCGCGGCTCCATCCCGCAGCCGAACCCCGCGCACCCGCCCGGCCCGCTGAGCGGAGCCCCCGCACCGCAGCCCTTGGTGCGGCTCCGCCACGGCTCCTCGCAGGGGAAGGGGGGTCCCTCCTGCCCGTCAGGCAGCGGGGCTCATGCTGGCTGCTCCCCAGCCAGCCCCACCGTGGCCCCCCACAGCAGCCCTGGCAGGGGAAGGGGTCCCCTGCTGCCCATCAAGCGCGGGGGCTCATGCTGGCTGCCCCCCACAGCGGGCACGGAGAGGGGGCTGCGTGGGGACACCCTCCCGTGCAGCTTAGCAAACCCCCAAGTCTTGGTGGAAGGAAAAGATCGGGGGGGGATCGAAACAGCTGGGGAGGGGGTGAAAGTCCAACATGTCCAGAGGATTCAGAGGAAAGGGTTGAGCCCCCCGGGCGCGGACGGCGGGGCCGGGGGGCCGCTCAGCGGCAGTAAAGGCTGCGGCAAGGTGCCGGGGAGTTCGGGGAAGGTGCCAGCCTGCGGAAAGGCACTGGCGGAGGCGGGGAGGGCAGCGGTGGCGGCGGGGACGCTGCTGAGGGGCAGCGGCAGAGATGCGCTGTAGGTCATGGAGTTGGCGGGGTGGCCGGCGGGCAGGACGGGCACCGGCGAGCTGGTCCGCATCTGGTTCAGCGTCGGCTTGGGCTGCTCCGAGAGGCTGAAGGGGTTGGTGGGGGACGGCGTGCTCAGACCTGGCAAGGAGCAGCAGATGGGACATGTCAGGGCAGCCAGGACACCCCCAGCCCTTCTCCTCCTCCTCTTCTTCCTCCCCCGCCCACCACCTGCCCAGCAGCCCTGCAGCACCTACCCGAGAGAAAGGGGTTGCGGGTCTTGGAGGCCGGAGTAGGTGCGACCAGGGAGTCCAGGTTGACCAGGGAGGAGGCGGCAGGGCCAAGGAATGCCTCAGGGGTTTTACAGTCCTTCCGCTCCTTGCCGGATTCAGGCAGGGAGTCAGCCAGGTTGGCAAGGTCAAAGCTCTTTGCCCCATCCTGCCTGGTGCTGGGGAACAGGTCTCCAAAGGGGTCGGGCTCTGGGATGGAAGGAGGGGAGATGAGACACGTGAGCCAGCTGGGAGACACCAAGCATCCTTCCTTGTCACCGCACAGGGTGGCTGACAACACATCTCACCCCAGGTCACAGCGTAACGCAGTGGGGCTGAGCCTGTGGCACGGCCTGCCCCAGTATCCCCCAAGCCACCATGGGACACAGCAAAGCTGGGGACATGGCTACACACAGAGACTGGGGCTGCTCCCTCAGCTGTGGGGCCACAGCAATGCCCACGGAAACAAGCTTTGGCCATGCCAGCAAACAGCTACACACACCCTGGCCAGCCCTAGGACTGCCTCCCTGCCAGGGGCAGGGACAGTCACCGTGCCCACCTGCCCACTCCCAGCTCTTACCCACGGGGCTGCTGGACTTGGCCGAGGAGGGCGGCTGGGAGGGCTCCTGCTCCGGCGGCTCGGGCGGCTTTGCAAATGGGTCAAAAGCGTTCCCCCCTGGAGCTGGGGGGAAGAGGGGACACTCAAGGAGGGGAGCAAGCAGGGAGGTGGGAGGCAGGAGGTGGAAGGGCAGGAGAGAGGCAGGGGTGGCTGCCTGCAAGAAGACAGAGAAGAGGGGGTGCAGTGCGGGACATGGGGTTGGGGGGTCAGGAATGTGCACTGGGGAAGGCTTAGATGAGCTAGATCATGGGATTATTGCAGACCAAGACAACCCTGCTTCTCACAGCCATTACCCCATACCAAGCAGGTCCCTTTCCTAGCCCCAGCAGGGACAGGGGGAGAGAACTGCAGGAATGCTTTAGCAACCAGCACTGGCCCCCAGACCAGGTTCTGCAACCCTCACCAGGGACCAAAACTGGGGGCAGGACCTTCACAGGGCTGAAGGAAACACCAAGGAGGAACTGAGAGTGACGCTAAGCTTTGAAATACAGGCTGCTCCTACAACTGTTTCCCCACCTGCAACATGGGCACCTGCAACCAGCAACGGACTGTCTGGTGCAGGCAGAGTGTACAGGGGTCATTTGGGTTGAACAAATAGGTATTAATAATGGGACACAGCATCACCCTGCTGCTGGAGGGGTGTGGGGCAGCCGTTTGCTCCCATGGGATGGCCCTATTAACTTCTGTACAAAAGTAAAGCCTAGAAGTTCCTTGAAGTCTTCAGGATGCTGAGGGGTGAGCAGAGGTCCTGCTGAGGGTCAGGAAGGTGGGGAGGAGGTGTTTGGGGAGCTGATTGAAGGAGGAAAGGGGGAGAACCCAGAGATGCCCATTTGCAGGAGGGTAGTGATGCTCAAGGCTGTCCTCAATCCTCAACAGAGCCAAAAGGTCCATTGAGCTTCTTACCAGGGGCTGGAGGCTGCTCAGGCACAGCAGCCCAAGGGTCAGGAGCTGGTGTAGAACTGGAGCCCTGGGGGGTTGGGGAGGCTGCTGTTCCCCAGGGGTCTGCAGGAGGGAAACCAGAAGACAGGGGTGCCTTCCCCCAGGGGTCAGAGGCTGCAGCGGTGCTGGGGGGAAAGTCCCAGGGCCCAGCAGAGGTTTGCTGGGATGAGGCGCTCGCCTGGGAGAGGGGCTCCCCCCCAGGGTCTGGGACTGGCACCCAGGGATCCGCTGCACCCGTCCAGGCAGAGGCCACCGGCTCCACTTTGGGTTTCATATCTGGAAAAAAAGGGAAACTGTGAAAGAAGAGAACAATGTAGAGCACAGAGCAATGCTGAGTGGTGGGGATGTGGCCAGGGGACCATGGCTTCCAGCAGTACCACCTGGAAGTGCAACAGAATAGGCATCAGAAGGAGAAGAAGGCAGAGGTCCTCACTGTTGAGCTCCTGGGGACTGGGGACAGAGGCAAGGGACAATTTTCTGCCACTGTCCCAAATTTTGGCAGCCTGCAAGTTGTGCTCACCTGGCATATCCCATGGGTCAGCAGACGTGTGGCTGGAGGGCGCTGGCGCCGGCCCGAATATATCTGCCAGCTCCAGAATAGAGGACTGCAGACAGAAAGGGAATAAAGAGGTGAGAGGAGCCTGGGGCAGAGCTGCAGGATCATCCCCGTGTGGCCACCCAGCCTCCAGTGCCGTACCTGGCTTTTCTTCATCTTATCTTCTTCTTGCTCTTCCTCCCTTCCTGGGGCAGTCTCCTCCAGGGGTCTCTGCTGCAGGGAGTTCTCCCCTTGCCAAGTCCTCACTTCCTGTGGGGACAAGGGATGGGGCCTGTGAGCTCAGCAACCCTGCAGCCAGCACCTTCTCTAGGAGACACACCCAGCACAGGAGCTGCCACCCGAAAAAGTCCCAGCATCTGAGCAGACAGCTCCTCCAGGGCCGAGCCCCCTGGGAGAGCACTCGGCAGACAGCCCGGAGCAGCGAAAGCAAAGCGGGCACCAGAGCGAGGTGATGCTTTGGGCTCCGGTGCCACAGAGAGAAGAGAGCAGGGGCCAGGGCTGCAGGACACAGGTACCTTCTCGTGCTCCTCTTTGCTCAGCGCGAGCGCGAGCTGCAATTGCCTTTCTTCGTCTGTACTGGAAAGTGGAGGAAGTGGCTTCTGGCAACAGAGGAAATTACGTGACATTTCAGCTTGCCCTCAGCTCGCAGGACTGCGTGGAGGTTGTCCCTCTCCTTGCCACCGTCATTCCTGTGGCCCCTTGCCTGCCTGCACAGCATCTGTGCCCATCCGGCTGGCCTTGCTTGCAGACTCCCAGCTCAATGTCCCTGTGCTGTCTAACCAGCTCCAGCTCAGGTTCCCTGCAGCCCCTGCCCAGCTCCTTCCCCGATCCCATCACCTGCTGCTGGATTAAGGCTGGAATGACCCTAAATTAGGCAGTCAGCATCTCCCCTGAGAGGTTTTTGGGGACCCTGATGCAGTCAGTGAATGAGAGGGGATGATTAAGGCGTCCCCTTGCTCTGGCAGCCTGCTGGAGAAGAGGGTTTGTGACACTGACTGGCCTCAGTTTGAGATTCCTGCCAGCCCCACACCTAGACATGAGTAGCCTCTGGGGAGAGGCTGTCCCTGTAGCACCATGGTGGCCCTGATCTCTGCCCCATGACGCTCTTCCAGCAGTGTGGGGACTCTCAGGGGTGGGAATGGGTACTCTGGTGGGGGTGTGCATGTGTCGACACCCATACATGTGTGTGCATGCATGTGCAGCCCAGATGGACTCTAACAAACAGGCAACACTTTCCAGAGAGTGTTTCTACAGTGCTCATCGGAGCAGCATGAGGAGGCTATAAATACTCCAATTCCAGGATAAAAATACACACCCTGCTCTGCCTCCAGAAGAGCCTGCATTGGGCAGGAAAGACTGGCAGCAACAAGCACCATCTCCAGAGCACATCCCCTGCCTGGCAGGACTGAGCTCATGGTGCTGGGTGTTAGCTCCAGGGGATGCCCACTGGTCCAGCCATGCAGCTCCTTGGTCCCCATGTCCCTCTGACTTTGTGTACTGGCTGTACCCACAGGCTCATGCATGCTGTGCCAGCTGGTTGCCAGTGAGCAAATAATCCATCCTTGGTGGGAAAGGGCCCAGCAGATAGGAAAGGGGACAGCCTGAGGTGGCTTCACACTGGGCAGAACAGCTCACTTGCTTGATTCCTCCTGGGGCCTTTTCCCAGTGCTCCTTCTAGCCCAGTTTGAAAGGACCAGGCAGTGGGAGGGATCACCTGCATGCAGTGAGCCCCCAGCCCCAGGGACGTTGCTGACCCTGCATTCACACAAACCGCTGGGCAAGGCTCTGCCTCCTAAAAATCTGTGAGTAAGCAAGAGAAATGGGGGAGCTGAGACCAAAACTCCTCAGCAGAAGGCAGCCAGGTTGGCAGGTGGGGGTTGCAGTAAATCCAGAAGACGCCCCAAATTCACCCTGAGGTCTGGGCGGCTGGACAGATCCCAGCCTGGTGCTGTCCTCTCTAATATGAGAACAGGGAGCAGGGGCAGCCCACGCCTCCATCTGCCCACTGCCAATTTTGGATGCCAGACACAATGCGAGCAGCCTGGTGCAGTTGTAGGTACATGACCTGCTTCAGGCAGCCCCCAAAATCCTGCCTCTTCCCAAGGAACTGACCCACTGTATTCACAGGTAAGGCAAGGTACGGGGAGATGCCTCAGGACAGGCAGGGCCACTGTACCTTCTCTGCCTCCTCCCGACTCATGGCCAGTGCCAGCTGCAGCTGCAGCTCCTCCTCTCCTGTCGTCTGGGGCCGTGCTTGCTCCAGGTCAGAGGTGAACCGTGGGGATGAGGATGATGCTGGGAGATAAAAGAGGAAAAGGGGAAGGAGTGGCATCAGGACTGAGGTATTTTGGGGAGCACATCAGCAGTTTCCAGGCCTCTGTCCCGATGCCCAGCCTCCCCAGGAGATGTAGCCACACATTAGAGCTCCGTAAGTTTAAGGCTGGAGGCACCACCAGCTGCTACTGCTGCTGGGATCCACCACTGGCCCAGCCAAATCTCTGCCCTGTGGTTGGGCTTCACCACCACCATCCCAAAAGATGCAGAAGAACGACAGGCACCAAGCAGGTGTGAACCAAACGCAGCACCTGCTTCCCCTGAGTGAGCCCGAGTGAGCCACCAGTAACACTCACAGTTGAAGGAGGAGGGTGAGCCCCGTGCCCGGCTGTAATCTTCACCGTAGGGCGATGCTCGGCGGCCGTAGGTGACCTGGTGGCTGCCACTGCCCATGCCCTCCAGGGCCATGCGCTCCTTGGTCTGCAGCGCATGTGCCCGCTCCTGCTTCAGCCGCTCCTCGTCCTTCAGCAGCGCCATCACCTGCTTCACCTTCTCCCGGATGTTGATGCCCTGGTCCTTGCCATCACGGTCCACGTACTGGAAGTCCTTCAGAGTCTGGATGGTGTAGAGGTTCTCCCGGCACTGGTGGGTCACCTTCTCGGAGCCAGTTTTGATGAGGTAGTCCAGGAGGGTGAGGGCTTTGTAGACGTGACGCCAGTTCTTGCCGCTGTCGTTCAGCCGCCGCCAGATCATGCCCATGACCTCGGCGAAAGCCACTGTGTTGAAGGTGAGGTCGGCGATCTCTGACATCAGGGAGCTGGGAGGTCCCCATGGATCATTGGAGGTGGCCTCCCGCACCTTGATCTCCGCCTCTGAGTAGTTGTGCACAATGTTCTTCACCTGCCGACGCAGCGCCGAGGTCGTCATGGCTGTGTGGTGCTGGAGACCTGCTGGTGGCAGGCAGGGACGGTGGAGAAGGGAGGAGTGAGCACGGCCACAGCCTCACCAGCACCTGCAGCAGGGAACAGTGATACAGAGAGCTCAGCATCACCTCAACCACCGAGCCCCATTCCCAGAGCCCTCGGCTGGCACCAGGGACATTTCTCTAGGTGGATGTGACCGTCCTAGGGGCATCAGGTGCACCCTGGCAGGCTGCCACAGCTCACCAACTGGGACACGCAGGACGCTCAAGGGGAAATGAAATCTCATGGCAAGTGATACCCAGCATTGCAGAGCTACCTCAAGTTTTGACTCTGGATTCAGCAACATTTGGAGATTCTACTCTGCACTTCTGCTTCTAAAAGTAACCATCTGAAAATGGCAGCTCCCTCCTCCAGGTCCTGTCTGCCTCAGCTCCACTGTCCTGGCAATGCTGATTTCAGACCCTCGCAGCCCTTATGCAGCCAGGAGTTCCCCTATAACCCCAGATGCACTTCCTGCAGCTGTGCACAGCCCTGCTTGTCCCAGTTGTCAGCCCAAGGCTCTCAGTGCTGTCAAGGCTGCATCGTGCAACCCCAAAACCTCATCATGAGTCAGAGCCTATCGCGACTCACTAGTGCTGGCAGCTGCTCAGGCAGGTTTTCCCAGCAAATTTGATAATTTTGCTCCTGTGAGAGGCTGGCGAATTGAGGGTGCTAACAGCCAGCACGAGGTCAGCCAGCAGGATGGATAATGCAATGCCCCTCTCACCAAAACCTCAAACTGTCTGAGCCTCCTCTGGGCCCAGACACAGGGGCTGCAGGGGTTGGCATGGCCGGGAGCTGTCCTGGTACCTCCCCGGGGCAATGCCTGTCCTTGGGATGCGCTGCACTGACACAGATGCAGTGACATGGGGCAGTCTGGACCTGTCTTCCATGAGCCCATCACAACCCTGTGCCCTGCTCCATGCTGGTCTTAAATCCTCACCTTCTCCCTGCATGGTGAGAAGACAATGTTCACCCTCATTTTGTCAGAGGGCCAAGCTGAGGGAGAGGCAGAGGCTGCTTGGAGCTGCCTTGCCCTCGGCAGGGCTGCACCACAGGACTGGGGAGCTGAGCTGCTCCCAGTGACAAAACTCACTGGCAATTTCTCCCCCATCCAAGATAACACGTGTGAGCAGAGGAGTATCTCCCCCACACAGCAGTCTGCAGACAGGGGTTATCAGCGACCATCCCATCACCCACTCGGGTGCCGGTACCTCCCTGGACTGCAGCTGCCACACCACATCCAGCCCTCTCCCAGCTCAGGACACCTCTCCATCCCACCAGAGCTGGGCCAGGGTCATGCTGACGTGCCCACAAGCCATGCAGGCACCCACCACGCTCCCACACAACCCGTGCGACCAGTCCAGCACCTCCTGCTCCTGTGGGCCAGCAGCCAGGCGCCCCAGAGCTCCGCCAGCAACATCTCCGTGAGTCAGACAGGAGCCTGGCACCGCCGCGCTCGCGGGCGGACGGAGTTTCTCTCGAGACGCTTCCCTGCACCGATTCCCTTTCGCAATGCAGCCGTCAGCGCGGCCTTTGGATCCCGCCGGGACAGCCCGTGGTGCAGACGGCCAGGCCACTGCTTGCCTGGCACGGAAATGCCTCCGGGACAAGGGCAGCAGCATAGCAAAGTCCTCCAGGACTTGGCTCCGCGCTGTGCTTTCCACCAACACCCCGGTGGAGATAAAGTCGTGTTCTCCAAAGGTGCCACCAGCCTGGAGAGCACCGGCAAGCACGCTGGCAGTCCGAGGAGGAGGCAGGATGGTTCCTTCTGCCTCCAACAGGTTTCCTAGCTGCACAAACCCCAGGTCCAGTGACAGGCTGCCGGCATTGCTCATCCTGGCCAGAAACCTGACCCCAGCTGGACTTTGCCCGCCATGAGCCGGCCTGGGAAGTCTGAATGGAAAGAGATGGGAAGCATGGGCTGGGGCAGGGATGAGAGGAACGTAATCAGGGCTGGAGCTGCCAGCGGGGTTAAGAGCTGCGGGTTTATCAAACACAATATCATCCCCCCCTGCATGGAATATAAAGGGACTGAAACAGAAGCCGTGTGGGAGATAAGGCGGCAGCACCCAGCAGCTCATATGGAATTACTGCAGTGACCTTGACCAAGAGGTGGCCAGGTGGGAGAAGGACACGGCTGCGGGGCTCGGTCCCCATCGCCCGCGGGCCAGCGCGGGGGGCTGCGGGGGCGGCGGGGGGGCGAGGAGGAACGGCCTGGGGGGGCAGCGGGAGGGATGGGGGGGTGCAAGGGTGGGGGGGAAAAAGGGTCAGGCGAGGGGAGGTGGGCCGGGAGGGGGATTACAGTTCCATCCTTAATCAGGTGCAGGGCTGAGAGGAGCAGCGACCGCCATGGGGGGAGCAGCAGGGAACGGCCCCCGCACCCGCCCGGCTCCCGCTCCCGCAGCCGCCGCGGAGCCCGAGCCCGGCCCGGGAGCCGTCACGGCACCGAGCTGCCCGCCGGGGCCCGGCATCCCCCGCAGCCCGCGATGCTCCGGCGTCCAGAACCTTCCTCCTCCTCCTCGTCCCCCTCCCCCCGAGCGCAGCCCGGTGCCGGGGGCGCGCAGCCCCGGTTACCTGCGCGGTGCCGCCGGTGCCGCCGGTGAGCGCGGGCTGGAGGCGGCCGCAGCCGCCCGCTCCTGCTGCGCTCCGCCGAGTTGCCGGGCTGGCTGGGCAGGTCCCGGCGGCAGGTCCCGGCTTAACCCCTTCGGGGCCGCCCGGGCACCGGCAGAGGCGCTCAGGCCCCCCCGGCACGGTGCGGCGCTGCGCGGTGCGGTACCGGCCGCGGGGGATGCGGCGCCGAGCCCCTGCCCCGCCGCATGCGGGAGGCGGGGATGCTGTAAATGCTCAGTCACTGCCCCTTCTCTGGCAGCCAGCCAGGCGCTGCTCGCTGCTGCCTGCGCGCCTGTATTCTTTTTTTTTTTCCCCTCCTCCCCCCCCATTATTTTTAGACAGAAATCCACGTTCCCAGGCGCGGAAGAAGCTCCGAGGGATGTCGACCCTGCCCATCACGCAGTTCCCTCTCTGCTACCCCAGGCCACGCTTGCAATTTGGGTTCTTTAAATTTATTTTTTTCTTTATTTTTTTCCCTTTTTTTTTTTTTTTTTTTTTTTTTTTTTTTGCTAGGATCTTAATTTGGAGCGGGTTCTTCCCCTGCTCTGAACAGCTCCCTGGAGCCTGGCTGGGGGGAGAGAGAGAGGCATCAGATGACATGACAAAATAAGTCATGTCTCTCAATCATTTCAATGCCACCCCCTCTCTCCCCGGCCTCTGCCTTCCATTTTAATCAGTGACAGCCCTTCAAGTATTATGGATATATATAATCTTTTTAATATCACTGACATTTTTCACGATGGAAAGCATCTCAGGGGTGCTGAGACATTCTGGGGTGGTGGGAGGGGGGGTCGTGCCTTCCTGCGGCTGCTCCCGCCAGCCACACAAAGTGCAGAGCTCAGATCCATCTTGCCCCAGGGTCCTGTCCTGCCTTAAGTCTCGGGGGAGGCCGTGTGCCTCTGGGGACTTGGCAGATCTCAGCAGCCTGACATTCCCAACAGGCTCTGGCCGTTCAGGCTGAATAAGCATCTAGTCCCCCTCCCAGCCGCAGTGTGGGAAAAGAGCACGTCCAGCATCCAAACCCTCTGCAGGTCAGGCCAGAGAACATCCCAGCTCGGGAAGGGGCAGCTGTCCTCTTCCTCCATTCCCCATGCTCCTGCTTCACTGTGTCAGAGGGTAGACAAAGGTGGTGTCAAAGGCAGACAGCTTGCCTTTCTTCGGGCAGTGATTTTTTTATAAGCAAAGCAAGCCTCTCCTGGGGAAAACACCCCAAGAGGTGTTTTTGGAGCTGTACAAATGTGGGGTTTCTTTGCTGGGGTGCCCAAAACTCCACCGTGGGTATAGAACCCAGCAGAGCACTGCATGCCCTCAGCGCAGCCTGGATGTTCCTCCAGACGCCTCTGCCATTGAAAAACCTCTGGAAATGCACTGTCACCTTCTGCTTGCAGCATTTTCCTGCAATTCCCCCTCTTCCCATCCTCTCTGGTGGTGATGGTGTCTTCAGGCCCCACTCACGTGATGGGTTTGGAATGCAACTCCCAAGGCCAGGAAGGTCGCTCACCTTGGTTATTTAGCAAACACGACACAAATTATTAACACTAATACAAATAATGCCCACATTTGGGAAACGAGAAGGAATAATTTCCTTGCCTGGCTGCAAGGACTCAGCCTACAGTGTCCTACAGAGTGCAGGGCTGGCAGCCCTGAGGGTCTTTGTGCTAAGGATAGAGCCCACATCTAACACTGGGCCTGTAAATAAGAGGTTTATGTTTCTAAAGCTGCTCTGTAGAAGCCACCTCTAATTCCACTGCAGTTCCTGTCCTGTTACTTCCACAAATCAATGCAAAAGAGGGGGAAAAAAAATTTAAAAAGCAGCTAGCTCACAAAAAGCTGCAGCAGCAGCCAGCAGAGTATCACAATTGTTGGCCCAGCCTATCACATCCCTTCCTGCATTCTGCTTGTACCTTGTCCCCTGAGGACACTCTCATCCAAGGCCCGAAGAGGCACTGGTAATATTTATGACAAAAATTTATGACAAGAAATTAGACTATTCACAGGTTTCTTCTTCTTTGCAGAACTCCTATGCCACCCACCTGGCACAAGACTCCTCCCTTGGAAGGGAAGATGCCAGCACAGGACATTCTTCCATTGTATGTGACAGATACAAAACTTCCATCTACCCAGTGTTGTATTAACAGATTTTTCAGTGGGTAGATGAACACATGGAGCCTGGTTTCAATAGGCTGGACTGAAGGTATTGGATCCATGGAGACATGGATGGGCTTTGCCATCCTTTAAGGCAAAGCCAGCGAATGAAAGCATTCCTGCCTCTCAGACAATCACGTTTCCTCTAGAACCTGCAGACGCCCTCTCTCCTAGAAACAAACAGATGGCGTGAGCAGTTTGAGTTGGGCAGATTCACAAAGCTGATAATCATCTCCAGGGAGGCAGGAGCTATTGTCAGAGCCTGTAAGACATACCCCAACTTCAGGCTTTTTTCCTCCTAATTCTCAAAATGTTGCTGAAATTCTCATTCCAGGAATGCTGAGCAGAAACATCCCCTGTGCCCACTAAGCCAGAGGAGGCTCCTGCTGCTACAGAAGCCAGAATGCTTCCCCATACCCCACTAAGAGAAAACAACTCACAAGATGAGCAGCCTCACCTGGCCAGTGAAGAGAACAAGCTGTGCTTTGCCATGGTCCTGCTGGGAGCCAAGGGAAGGAACAGATCCTCTCCCCAGGGACAGCAGAGGAGTTAAAATGAGAAAAGGGAGGACACCAATTCAGCAGAAGGAGCAGTCATTTCACACTACATGTGCAGCTCCAAGCTGTGTGCCAGCCCAGGGACAGGGGCACGTGCCCAAGGGACACACCTGGAGCCACTGAACTCATGGCTGAGCCATGCTCAGCATGGATAGGCATCTGCTGCCTCAGAGCTCCAGTGGGATCACCATCCCCAATTAATGATCTACACTGATGTCATTGCTCTACAGGGCCAAAGCCTTTCTGGGGAATGCTGTCCAGCTGCTTTAGCAGGAAGGTGGCATTTACTGACAGCAGGCCAAGGTAGACTCCACACAGAGCTCGCTCTGCCTCAGGAACCTGCTCCAAGCCCAGTGTGCCACACTCAGGCCTGGGATGCCTCCATAAAAAGCCTCATTCCAGCAGTGATGCACACAGATGGGAAATGGTGATGAGCCCAGACACTCAGGCAGATGGACAGACAGGAGGGGTGGCTCTAACACGAGGCCTTACCATGGCTCACAACTTTTATTGCATAAATTTCATTAATTTAAGAGTGATTACTCTTGGAAGAAAACATGTAAAACCTGGCTCAGAATGGGGCATTGGTATCTGGAACTCATTGGAAAGAGATGACAAGATCAGCACAAGAAGGAAATCTGTGAGTGCAAAACCAGGCAGAGTGGCACACCCCCTAGGACAGAGTATTTACTGGGATCCAGAATGCCTCAGAGAACTTCCTGTCAGCAAGTCCCAAGGAGAGACTGGACAAGATGCCAAAAATATGATAAAAACCAGGATGGATTTGTCTACTCTCCTGGTACCAGCATTTATGAGTACAAGAACACCCTGCTCACTCACCTGCTATCCAAACACAATCAAGACACAAAGAACATACCTCATGTTAACTGGCACTTTGAAATTCTCCCCCAGCAGAAATACCAGTATTTTCCAGTCTTAACGTTTTCTGAGGTGGTTATACTTCTTGCCTTGTCTCTTCCTGGCAAGCATCATCTGTAAAAGTAACAGATGATCTAGCAATAGTCTCACATCATAGTGTGTCAGAAAAGAGGCAGCTCACTATTTGTAATCACTGAATCACTTCAGAAAGAAGAATCTCCACTCCATCTGTGTAAATATGGTTATTTATTTATTTTTTTAAAAGCAAGTCTATTTCTACATACAAAAGGCTTCACTCCAACTTCAGAGCATGTTACTGCTTTAGATCCTCGAATAAAGACACCATTTCACTCACCATTGCATCCAGTAGCCTGTAAACCTGCAAAAATTCAGAGAAGACAGTTGCAGTGAAAACACATGAAGAAATCCTGAGGCTGAGACTGACAGAGATGGTTCCTGAGGCACATTTTCACATGGGCACACATACAACCACATAGAAGTGGCAGCCTGCTGCTAACAGAGCTCTAGAAATAATTTCCCTGGCTATGAAGTGTGTTTAACATTATCTAAGGTACAATTAATTCAGCTGATCCCTCCAGAGTCTGCAAGCAATGCTGAAGACATCCTAGATAGGAGTCCCGCATGTGGCTATGTGATGGCTGGATTTCTGCTAACAGATTCCAGGCTGAAACAAATTAATTTGGATTTCACACTTACCTTGCTGCAGCACAAGGGACATATGTCTGCCAGTTTTCTGAGTTTAACAAAATGCTTGCCTCTCCCCCTGAGCCTCAGTGTGCTTTACAAGAAAACAAAATCAAGATGATGATACAAGCTTTGGTCAGACTCACTTCAATATAGAGCTTTTCCTGGTATATTTCCAGTGCAACAGAGTCCACCTCTTCCTGAGCAGGTTCTGCCCCATCTGTAGTTGCAGCTCCCTCTTTCACCTGCTTCTCATCTCTTGCTTTGACAGACTCTGCTCCCCCTTTCACATCCTGCAGTGAAATGAAAGATCCTTGCTTCTCACCTTTTGCTTTCAGCTTTCTGCTGCCTGGAGGATCCTAATAAGGGACAGACCAAGGGAAAAAGGGACATTGGTCAGGACACTGCTCAGACTGCTTCAAGATTCATCTCCCAGCAGCAGCACCTCTTTCACTGGGTTGGAAATCAGCTCAAACTCAGAATACACAGGATGGATCACACTGTCTCCAGCACTCAGGGCTCACCAAGCATTCCAACACCTACCCCTTTCCCTGATGTTCCTTTACTTTTTTTGCCTTCTTTATCCTTTTTCTCTTCTTTCTTAGTAGCTATTCCTCCTTTTTTTGCTCCTCCTTGCTTTACTCCCTCTACAAAAGAAAGGATTTCAATTAACCAAAAGCATTTACACATCCAGAAAGTCCAGTCCATTGCACTAGCACAGTGGGAATACATTACTTTTGCAGTGTATTTTCCTCTTTTTATTAATCTGAGATGTACTGCACTGAAAAATAATACCTTGAAGAGTTCTTTGTTTATATAAGGAATGAAGAGGTCTCATTGAGGCAGTGTTTGCTGGGTCAGTCTGAAAACCATGGCTAGACCTAGTTGAATTTAAAGGCTTTTTTTGTGGGGGTGTTTTTTTACTAATGCCAAACCACAGATCCCAATTAGTATTGTGACTGTCACACAATCTGCCAGTTTTTTTCCTCATGCTTTTTCCTCAGGGAGACATGTTGAAATTGACATTTCACTTCAAATTCATCATGTTTTTTTGTATTTCCAACAGCCCACACAGAGCAGTTGCTGTGCTAAAACCATTTACCTGTTTCCTCTGGAGCAGCTTCTACATAGGTGTCCTCCTTAATCAAACCAAGCAGGGATCTCAGCCTCAGAGAGTGACTCACCAGGTCATCAATTGCTCCACGCCACAGCTGGAGGCTAGGAAAATGATCAGGATCAGAAGGGAGACAGCAGCAACTGCCTCCTTGTTTGACCCTGTGCCCAGGAGTGAAGGCACCTTAGAGCTGACAGCTGCCCTGTGCAACTAAACCAACAAAGCAGCACCCACTGTCTAAATATCTGTGCAGGGGGATGCTAAATTGCATTCCTCATGCTAGATCCCTCCGAGGGCTCAGTGGTTTGCAAATCAACAGGCTCCCAGGAACCCATAAATATTACTGTGAAACTAGGTCTGCTCTTCAACATGACACACATTGGTAAATCAACCTGCTCTGTGTTTACCAAGAGGAACCTGCATCCTTCTAATTTAGAAGGAACTCAAAGCTGTTGATATGTTTATAGTCTGAAAGCCTGAGCAAAGAACAGAGAGACTGTATGAGGGAGGAGACAGTTATCTGAGTAAAAGGGTACAGAAAATACCCAAAGGTTTCATAAATACAGACTGGAATAATCCTGCCAGAAATAATCTTGTACACTCTCCAAAATTACATGCATTTAATATTCTAAACTTATCTCCAGAAAAAAAAAAAAAAAGGCATTTGGGTCCTAGACAGCTGCTACAATTAAGCTATAAAAAAACAGAGTGTAAAGATGACTTCTAGACCTTGTATAATTATGTGAACTCTGAATCACAACACTTCCAACAGAGCTTGCTGAGGCTGTTGATCACATAATGTTTTCACAAGCTTTTTCTTGCAAAGGTAACCCACCAGAGTGGATAAAGAAGGTCTGACTGAGTTGGCCTCTGTTCAACACACAGCTCCAGAGCTGCTTTATTGAGCTGGGTCAGTGCTTCTTCCCGCTGCTCCTCCCCTGGGATTGACATTATAGCCTGTGAGAGAAAATACACAAGGGCTGTGGAACACTTCTCAGTCTTTATTCACAGACCCTGAGTTCAGTGGAGCAGCTCACAGCTCTCTTCCTGGACACCAGTTTGAAACTAGGCTGCACTGGGCACTTACCCAGATGTGGCTTCCTACACAGCTAGGATAAGGTACCCAAGATCTGTGGAACAATCCCAGATTCCCCCATCAGACTGATATTAAGCCCCTTTGCAACTTCAGGTGCGCTGGGAAACAGGAATTCTATCAAGCTAGAAGGCTCCCTAGTAAAGCTTAGTTATAAAAACAACAGAGAGACTTCCAAGAGAGCACAAGAGAAAAACCACTGACAGAATCCAAAGCACTCTTGCTTTAATCTAGGGAGGTCTGTACTTTATCCACAGCCTGTCATGAGTGCCCCCTTAGTTCTCTGCTGAACAGAAAGGACTCTCCAAGGAGAAGAGCCCTTGGGGGAACCACAGGAGCTGTAAGTCCAGCCTGCCCTCCACATTCAGTCCTGGGATGACAGAAAGCTAACAGGGGAAGAGCTTAAAATATCTATTATATTGTGTGGTTCTCTTTTCTTCTTCACACAACAGCCCACAAAGTCTCTGTTGGGAATCTCTTTACAAGAGCACTGAGGGTGTGGTCAGCAGAGCCAACACGCATTGTAAATCTCTCAAACTCCCAGCATATTGGCAGCAGCCTTTTAGTGAGCTCACACTGGGGTAGGCTGGGCTGTTTGTAGGGGAATTAACACACCATCAGCTTGTGGGAACAGAGGCGACCACCTGTTTAAAGTCCTCGAAGGACAAGTTCCATCCTGAAGGACCTGCTTCTTCCTCCTCAATGCTCTTTTCCCTCGCAGCCTCGTCTAATGTGCGCTTCCCACGTGGGAGCCCAGTGGTGCTGCTCCGAGCAGAGGCAGACTCCAAGGTGCTCTCCTGGTACTCCATGTTCCCTGCGGTGCTCCTCTGGTCCAAGGGCACTTCCTCCTCCGAGACTGAAGGCACAGTCAGGTGCTGTCTCCATAGTTTATGCAGCTGCTTTACCACTTGATGCTGATAATGCAACTGTGATAATGGGGGAAAAGGTAAACATGAGCTGCACCTTCCCTCTCCAAAGCCAGCTGTTAAAGCCTCCATGGCAGACTCTGCCAGCTCCAGAATCCCAGGGATGCAGCAGTCCCACGGGTCTGCCCTCCCCACTTATTTCAGTCCATTAAATAGCAAACATCACCTCGGGATTTTTCCTGTGGAACAGCTCTTCCTCTGTGGCAGAGGCATCCACAGGAGATGGGGTGTGCACGGGTGTCCGAATTTGGTCAATAACTTCATTCAGGCTTTCTTTCACTATAGCAGCCCCTTCTCGAGCAGCCAGTTCGTTCTGAGGCACCACAACAAGAACAACATGTGTGAGTCCCCATTCCATATGCAAACACAAATTCAGTCCCACCTGTAACCACACTATTCATTATACAGAGTTACAAGGACACGAACAACTGCAAACCCCACTGAGCAGAGCAATACTTCCAACAGCTTTTCAGATAAACTATACAAATCCTCCCCCTAAACGATACTTTTCAAAGCATAGTGTAATTTTCAATTTATACCTTAACTGCTATCATAGTGTACAGTAGTCAATTCCCTTCCCACTAAGTAACTAATGAAATTAACTACCAACAGAAATTTCATTCTTTAAAGGACCAGTGTGAACACTTTAGGAAACACAGTCATGTCTTTAGTAACAACTACAATATACTGCAGAGTTCCTCATGTCATTTAGCAAACCTGCTCAAGTATGTGCAGACATTCTGTAAATCTCACTCCCAGCAGTAATTGCACAACAATAAAAATACCATGTTGTCCACTCCCACCCTGATCCTCTATTTGCATATAAAGTTCAAAGCTCAGTTACCCAGCTACATGCTCAGTTACCTCCAGTTTCTCTCTGAAGTCAGCCAATTTATCCTCATACACAGCAATTCCCCAAAGGGTCACCTGAAGCAGAGCTCCTCCTAATAACAGAGGATGTGTCCTAAATTCCCAGGGCTCACTAAAAATGCCTGCTCTCTCTGATTTGAAAATAAAGGAAAACCTCCGAATTTCTCCAGGCAAAATTACACCTGAAATAAGAGAGAAAATGCATTGGTCTGCAAAAAGCCACCTGGTTAACCTGACCCTTTTCCAACACCACCCCAAGTGTCCTTATCTCTCCGGGAGACTCTTTCCCCATAGTTTAGCTGGTTATCACATTTCATCCAGCTATTGCTCTCCTTCCAGATTTCCTCTCAGTCCCTGTGTTCCTGAACTGGTGTTATTCCCATTTCACTCTCCTTCTACAGCAAGCTCAGTTTTCTCTCCAGAAGATTATGCCCTGTTTGCCACCAGAAAATGGTTCACTTCTCAATCTTCCACCCATTTACACTCAGAGCAGAAGCAACCCCCTTTTCTTTAAGTTCCAGGAGAGGGATCTGCCTTGCACAGCTCTTTTGGGGTGAGTCAGCTCTGACACCCAGGGTGGTTTCCTCAGGAGAAATCACCCAGCAGTGCTCTGCCATTAGTCAGACTCCACGTCCCAGGTAACTCCCAAATTCTTGCTCTCTGCTTGAGGTACAAAGGTCTTGAAGACCAGAAGGCCTCATACCTGGTCTGGTATCAAAGTAAAAACAGGGCATCCTCCCTCCCTTGGTTTCTCTGGAGGGGATCTGCTCAGGAAGCCTCATCCAGTTGTACCAAATGGCAGCTCTGCCATCATTCATCACTGTCAGGAAGCTTTCAGCCTTCTCACTAGCCACAGTCGCAAAGGTGAGGCGGGAAGCAATGCCAATTTCCTTCTACAAGAAAGAGGAAAAAGAGAACAATTTCTAGGCTATCTGGCAGGATTTATCCTGCATGAAGTCATAGCTCAGATAAAGTGTTGAGCCTTGGTAGGAGAACTTGTAAGGCAGGTCCAAAGAAGTGGCCATTATACAGAGAAAGTCTGGGAATCTGAACCTCACAGCACAACCAGAGCCCTTCTGTTCCTAGATCTCTCTGGAGCAAACACAGGGATATTCCATTTAATGTTCAGAGTAAGTCTCCCATTCTGTGTCCTTGGAGTGACACTGATTGTACAACTATGACTTGGGAACTCAAGTAGGCTTAGCTTGACTAAACAATTAAAATCTCACAATTACCCTGCAAGCAGTGATGCCCTTGATCCAACGAGCAGGCTGGCCACAGAAAATTAAAGATGGAACCTTTTCAGCTTCTGGAGCCACAGTGAAGGAGTCATCTAAGGGGTCACTGCTAAAGAAAACAAAAGCCAGAATTTTCATGGAGTGAAACTCACTTCCAGAGAGGGAAGAACCAGGGGTGATTTACAAGACCCTCTAAGAAATAATCCCATTTAATGTTTTCTCACACAGTAATCTCTTTAGGGACAGAACCCTGCAGATGTGGTGAACCCATCTAGCTACATGTCACTGGCAAGGAGGACAGGACAGCCAGAATATTAAAGGATGAGACCTGCCTGAAGTACATGAGCAAAAAAGGGCAAGAGGCCCTCAGACTGTGCTTGTAACAGATGGACAGGACAGATAAAACCAGGAAATTAATGATGGAAGGCTAGAAAAAGACAATCAAATGGAGGTAATTGAGAGTAGAATCCCACCCTGCCTGATGTAAGCTCTGAAGCCACACAGAGTGCAGACTGGAGGAAGAACCTCAACAAAACTTTTCTCTGATTCTTGTTCCTTAGACACAAGGGCCCAAGGCACAAAGGCTGCTAAATCTGGTGATTAATATAATATAATATAATATAATATAATATAATATAATATAATATAATATAATATAATATAATATAATATAATACAATATAATATAATATATGAATATGCCTTTTATTGTGTCCCAGTGACACAGACTCATCTTCGTTCTGGATAAGAAGAGCTAAAAAAGCTAAGGATATCCTCACAGATTGGTGGTACACACCCAAAATTCTTTATTTTGCCACAAATTATGCCACAAAGTAAACTTACGGGATCTCAATCTCTTCAGAAATGGAAGTATGTCGAAAAGCCTCAGCTGAGACAGATGTGAAAGGCTGGCCTTTCCCAATCACCTCCAGTCCTTCCAGATCCTGGACATACACAGAAATTACCAACTCACAGTTGCTCTTTTACATAGAAAGGACATTAAAACACCAGACAAATGCACCAAGTCAGTCAAGTAAAGTGAAGTTACGATATCTTGCTCCTACAATGATTTTTAGAGGCATCTAAAGAATGCTCAAGGGACACGAGAAAGAATTCTGAGATTCCCAAGAATCCTAGATGACTGCACTCCCTACTAGCCATGATGCACAAAGGAAGTGTCCTTCACACGTTTCTCACCCTCAGAGATAGATTTCAAATACAAAAGAGTGTGGTTTGCTCTGTTTGTAGGAGGAGGGGCCATCTGCCTTCATGAGATTATTTCAGAGTGTCTTCCACATGGGTAAAGATCTCTTCCCTCTGCCCCACAGCACTCTAAATCAAAGTCCTGCACCAATACTTGGCAGGGATTTTCTTGCCTAGGTCCTGACAGCTGCATGCTGCTGGTTTGGGGTCCTATTCTGAGGCTCCTAGACCACTCCATGCAACACTACAACTCCTTCATAGGTGTGCTCCTTTGGAAATGTGGGAACTTCCAGGAAAAGCACTGTGGGACCAAGTTTAATTCCCCTAATGCTTTTTTCAGATCCATCTCTTGGCAACTTTGTTACTTCACAGCACTTGACAAGAGACACAAAGAATGTCCTTGTTCCTCTGGTCTTACCGGCTTATAAAAGCCCAGCTCCTCTAGGAGAGATTTTAGCTCCTGTCGTCGATGTTTCAGGAAAAGACTCTTATCCCAGTTTAGGTGGCAAGGAATCCTCTTTGGAGGCCTGAGACCTGTAAAAATACCCATAGAAAAGCTCATTCTCTACACACCCACATTCCTAATCAAATTTCATTCTCTGCCGAACTTTGGCCTTGTAGTGTTTTAAAGAGAAGGCTCAACAAGGAAGGAGCTGATCCCTCCATCCTTGTGCCCCATTTCTTTGGAATGAACTCTCTGCAGTTTTCCCTTACCTGTTTCCCTCTGGATGGTTTGGGGTTTCCCCACATGAGTGAGTGGCTCTGGGTACCCACGTTCAGTCCGGGTCAGGCTCAGAGTCAGCCCAGTGAGTTCATCCCCAATTTGCTCAGGAAGGCTCCAGAACTCGCTTCCCACTCGGTATCCCTAGGGTAGGAAACAAGGCTCCCACTGATAGAGTTGTGCAGCTACCTGCTATTTTCACAGGCACTTGAAGCCAAAAACAAGAGGTCCTGACTATATGAGCATTTTAAAAGTCAGAGAATTATCCCTTTCTGCAAAGCAAGCCAAAATTTCTATCAGGCTGCTGCCTAAGACAAAAGAACTTTCTTCTATCTAGAGCACGTGAAAGTTGAATGATATTAAAATAAAGCCTCACACAAATGCAAATTGTTTGATAGTGCTATAAATGTAAAAAAAGGATTTTAACACTATACTCTCATAACCCTCCTGCCTTACCCATGCCCTTTTCTCCACGGCAATCACTAAAATCCAAGTCTGAAGATCAGATCTTTCTGCCCCTGCAACAGCAAATGTGACATGTTCCCATGCCACTTCCCAGGGCACAACAGTCTTTGGTGAGAATCAAGAAATGCTACGTGCTCATCACCACTTTCCCCTGACTGGATAGCACAATTCAGGTTTTTATTTTTCATGTCCCTGAAAGCTCTGCTCAGACACCAAGCTGAGGGATTCAGAGAGGCTTTGATAAACATCTCCTGACAGCACTTCAGAGACTTACTCAGAACAGTGTCTGTGCTGTTTCACAAGAGCAGCACAATCAGGACACACAGGAAGTGGAGTTCTCACCTTTCCAGGAAATAGGGCAGGGAGACACCGGTCAATGAGGTCACGTTCTTCCTGGATTTGCCTGTAATCGTCCGACATGTTCATCAGCAATTCATTCTCTGGCTTGTGAAGAATTTCTATAAATAAAAAACACCACATCATTGGTGCTGCACTTCTGGGCACACCCTTTGCCACTGTTATTGTTCAGCTCTAACCCACTTACACTGCTCCCTGCCAAATCCACTGTCCTCTCCCCAACCAGAGCCACCAGCTCACCTTCCCACCACCATGAGGAGTGTGGGAGCTCTGAGAACATGGAATTAGACTGCAATGGCACTAGGATTATCCCTGGCGGGCAATGACTGCTGGGATTTAGTGTGGGGACATCAAACCTCTCCACCTGCACACAGAATTTCACAGAATGAAACGTCCTTAGCTTTTCTCACCGCCTAGGTGCTTCTCCTGTTTTTTCCTCATTGCCATATGATGGCTCCAGTTCTGGAAAGCTTTGTGCTCTGCTACTTGACCCTGCTGTGCCTTTATTTTCTTCTCTCCTCCACGTTCCTCTTCTAAAGCTGCTGCAGTAACATCTGGATGAGGAACCTTAATAGCATCTGCTAGCTGATGAAAGATGAAACATTAAATGAACCACTCCATGCACATCAAAACAGGAATGGGAGAGGGAAGGAGAGAAGAATCTTCATATTGACAGCACTGTTACATTAGCAATCTGAGAGGAAGGAAATGAGGGCAGTAGTGATACACTCGGACACAATGGAAATATTTATCTGAGTAAAGAGACTCCAGCAATGGCATGGCTGCAACATCAGCTCTTCCCTGATACCATGAGCAGGGTACAGAGGGAAGAGGAAGCCTGTGTAATTGTTCCCTCCATGACCTGGTCCTGCACACAGGACTCCAAAACCTGCTGGTGCAGTTTCTCTGAAGGCAAACCCTCCCCCGAGTGTGATGAGGCTGGGAAAACCACACCTTAGGCCTGCCCTGCTCCTGAAACGTGCTGGAAAGCATCAAAAGGTACTGCAGGCACCACACACTACCTCTGGAAAAGTGCCATGCAGCAGCATTTTCCTAACTCTACAGACCAACCTGAGTGTTTTTTCTGGCCAAGGCTTCCATCCTCAACTCCTGGAGACTTCCCAAAATGTGATGAGGGAGGATCTCTTCAGAGCCAGCATCAAACTGTCTTGGTCCTACAACACACATATAAAAATACCCAACCACAGAGCCAGGTCACTAAAGTTTGGCTTATCAAAACCAAACCCAGAGGTAAGATGTGAAGTTGAACCCTACCAGGAAAGGTCAGTGGTCCCTTGGGTGCCTTGGGGGGAACAGGATGTGCTACAAGATGTGTCACCTCCTTGGGTCGGTATTGTCGGACAAGGTAATTCCTCTGAACTGGAATTCTCCCAGCATCGTGGGGAAGGCGTGGAGCATGAAGCTTCAGGAAATAAACAGTCACAGTGCAGTTAGGCACACACTGACTCACCTTTATTCCATCTGATCCTTTCAGGATAGGCACAGTAGTCATATCAGTACAGCTCCTGTAAGGGTCCTGCGAGTCTTGGGTAGAGACTTTTCACATGGACATGTAAACAGGACAAGGAAGGAATGGATTCAAAGTAGAACAGTAGGTTTAGATTATGTATTAGGAAAAATTCTTCCCTGTGAGGGTAGTGAGGCCCTGGCACAGGTTCCCAGAGAAGCTGTGGCTGCCCCATCTCTGGAAGTGTCCAAGGCCAGGCTGGAGGGGGATTGGAACAACTGCAATAGTGGAAGATGTCCCTGCCCATGGTGGGGGGATTGAAATAGATGAGTTTTAAGGTCTTTTCCAAGCCAAATCTTCTATGATTCTTCCCCTACAAGACATCTTACACAGCTGTGCAGATACCAACTCAGTTACTGTTTTACTTCTCTGGGCACAAAAAGGAGAGTTTTAAATCACTTTCCAGAAGAGATTTCTGCTGCTGTGTTACTCAAATGCTTCCACTCACACACTGTGACCTGAATTTTGGAAGGAAAGCCATGAGAGCTACTAAACAACTTACAGGTCTTATTAGATCAGAAAGTTGAAGATGTAATTTTGAAGAGGCAGATGACTTATCCTTCCATTTGAAAGGACTGTATAGGCACTTATCCTTATAGCAACTGAACCTGATGAACTGACATTTTATCATGATAAAAAGCCTGGCAGACAAAGTAGCATGAGAACTCAGCTGCAGGTGTGAGTTTTGGCATAAGTAAATGAGCAGCACCCTTTGTTAAACACACAAAAGGAGAATGTCAGTTAAGACAGCTGTTTCTAGCAGTAAAACTACTCATACATACTTTCTCCAGGTCCTCCACCTTAATTTCAAGTGCCTGGATGTCTTCTCCTTGCAGAACATATGGAACAGGCACAGGCTCAGGCTCAGGTTCAGGCTCAGGCTCAGGCTCTTCTGCAATTATTGAACAGGGCCGTTCAAAAGTCTTTTCCTTCCTGCCTAAAAAACAGATGAAGAGACTTCTTTAGTCTCCAAGGAAGCAACATGCTCCTCTCAGGCTGATTAATGATTCCCAGCTGAACTATGTTTTGGTATTATTTCTCTTTAAGGTTGCACCGAACAATTACATTCAGCATCTCTTGTAACTGAAAAAAAAATCAACCTCTGAGAAGCTGCAAATACCAAAGTGGGTCAAGTAGGAGTGAATTGTCTCACACTTTATTCTAGATGAAGAACAACGGGTAAGATAAATGCAAATAAATACAGATCCGTGCAGGTGGAACAACACATTCCTGGGAAGTTTCCAGCTCCAGCTGCCAAATGCAAGCACACAGATTCCCTGCGCTTAGCCAGCACGACTGGGATAACAAAGCACTGGATTTCAGAAGCTGTTGAGTGGCAAAGCAGCCCTGAAATACCAAACCCGGGCAGACCCGTGTGCGGGCCAGGCCCAGCTCAGGGGATCCCACCAGGGGCTGTGCCCCCTTAACCTGCGGACCCCCACGCTGGGACCTGCTCCTTATAAAATAAATTATCACAATAATGTCAGGGGGGCACTGCCTGGGGAAGGCGCTGGTTCCGGCCGCTTTCACCGCGGCCCCACAGCAGGCCGAAGGCCTGGCTCGGCCGCCCTCTGCCCAGCCGCGCCCTGCTCCGGGCAGTACCACTGGGAGTCCGGCTCCGAGACCGACTGCCCCGCCGCGACGCCATGTCCCGGCCACCAGCACCGCGCCCGGAGTCGCCACAGGTCGCGACAGGCCGCGATAGAGCGCGCGGGCACGCAGCGGCCTCCGCGGGGCACCGCCCCCTGCCGGGGCTGCGCGGTACTGCTGCCCCCGGAGCGGCGCGCCACGCGCATGCGCCTCCTGTCCGCGCGCATGCGCAGTGCGGCTGCGACACGGCCGGGACAACGGTGCAGCGGGATCTAGGGACACAGCGGGATATCGGGACATGACACCTGGGACTCTGAGACACCGGGGCTTTGGGACACGGGGGACACGGAACACTGGGCGACTAGGAAGACCAGGGTGCCGGGACACCGGAATACCCGGACACAGCGGGATATTGGGGTGCCGGTACTCTGGGGTACCCGGGATACTCGGGCACGGAACACTGGGCGACTAGAAACACCAGGGTACCAGGACACCGGGATCCAGGACACCACGTGGCACCAGGATACCCGGATACAGCGGGATATTGGGACTCAGGGGTAGCCCGGATACTCGGGCACGGGACACTGGGCGACTATAAACTCCCGGATACAGGGGCTTACCCTGCAGTAACACCTCTCCCCGGCCAGCGCCCCTCCCCAACACCGCTCAGCCAGCACACTGCTCCTGTGGTTTATTGTCCATTTTGATGCTTACAGCCTTCGCGTCCCGGCCACCGGCTCGTTCCTCCGCCGGGGCTCCCCTCGGTGGGCACCGGGCAGCGCCCACCGCCCGCTGCAGCTGCCAGAGCAGGTCGGGCAGCAGCGAGTCCAGCACGGCCAGGCCGGCCCAAGTGCACCGCAGGCCACTGGGAAAGAGGTGTTGGTGAGACCCGGTGCCCTGGGGAGACCCCCGGCCTTGCCCGCGGCTCCCCGGGGCTCACCCGCTGTCCAGGACGAGCCAGCCCTCCTGCTGCAGTGCCCGAGCCTCCCCTGGCTCCCCGAATACATCCTGCAGGCTGAGCTGGGGGGAGAAATGCCCCCAGCGCTGTGTGCCCATGGCGAGAGAAGGATGTTAGTGATGGGGCATCAGCATCCCAGTACCCAAAGGGGCTGAGGAAGGGCTTTGGAGAAGAGAATGGAGTGACAGGAAAAGGGAGGAATGACTGGAAAGGGCACATTTGGATTAGATACTGGGAAGAAATTCTCTTGTGAGGGTGGCGAGGTCCTGACACAGGTTGGCCAGAGAAGCTGTGGATGTCATATCCCTGGAAACGTTCAAAGCCAGATTGGATAGGGCTTGGAGCAACTTGGTCTAGTGGAAGGTTTCCCTGCCCACCGCAGGAGGTGGAACGAGATAGGCTTTAAGGTCCCACCCAATCCAAACCATTCAATGATTAGCATGAGGTCAATGAGGGGTGTCCCCACAGGTGGCTCCTCACCTCGTGTGTGATGCCTTCATCTGTGCGCAGTCCCAGGCTGAGCAGCTCCTCCAGCCTGTGGGGACACGGAGAGCTGTAGGGCAGCACAGACAAGGAGGGGGCTTGGGGGGACCCCAGTACTCACTGCTCCAGAGGGTTTAGCACCACCCGACTCCTGGTGCCGTGTCCCTGGCTCTGCACCTCCCGCATCCAGGTAACAGGCTCCAGGGTCTGGACACGGGCTTCCCGGCTGCAGCCGCCCTCACCCCGCAGAATGAAGCGCCCATGTGCCCCTACAGCAGCCAGGTGGGGGAACAACAGAGTTCACGGGGCACATGGCCACATACTCCCCCGCACTGGCCCCCATCACCCCCTTACCTGGCCCCACACCGATGTACTCGTCAGCCCGCCAGTATGAGAGGTTGTGGGTGCTGAGGGCGCCCTGGGAGAGAGCCCTGGGGTGAGAGGAGGGGCTGAGCCTTCTGGGGGACCAGCATGACATGGTGGCATCTCACCTTCCGTGCAAAATTGGAGACCTCGTAGTGGCGGAAGCCAGCGGCCACCAGCACATTCCGAGCAGTCTCGTACATGTCAGCCAGCAGATCCTGGGGGGGTGCAGGCAGGGCTCCCCCCCGGACCTGTGCTGCCAGCGCCGTGCCCCGCTCCAGCGTCAGCTGGTACAGGGAGATGTGGTCATCACAGAGCCTCAGGGCCGCCTCCAGCTGCTGCACCCAGGCATCCCGGCTCTGTCCCGGCAGCCCAAACAGGAGGTCGATGGAGGTTCGGCCAGGGAAGAGCCCCCGTGCCGCTTCCACAGCCTGGCGTGCCTCTGCCGCTGTGTGCTCCCGGCCCAGCATCCTCAACTCAGCGTCATCCAGCGACTGTGGAGGGAGCGCGGTGACAGTGGGGTCACCAGGGGGCTGCGGGGGCTGCGGCAGGGACAGCCCCTCTCACCTGGACGCCGATGGACAGGCGGTTCACCCCAGCTGCCCTGAAGCCGGCAAGGCGCGATGTGCTGGCGGAGCTGGGGTTGGCCTCCAGCGTGACCTCAGCAGCGGCAGGAAGGTGGGCAGCCCCCGCCACAGCCTCCAACACTGCCGCCACAGTGCCGGGGCTGGCCAGGCTCGGGGTGCCCCCGCCGAAGAACACGGAGGTGACGCTGTAGGGCAGAGAGTGGGAAAGCTGCAGGTGGCCACGGAATGGCCCAGCACTGCCCATGATGAGCCCACCCCGTACACCCACCTGTGCACCTGGCTGAGGCGGAGCAAGGTCTGTGCCTCCCGCACCAGGCAGGCGCGCACGGCCGCCTCGTCCACCGCCCGCACCACGTACGTGTTGAAGTTGCAGTAGGAGCAGCGCTTGCGGCAGTAGGGCCACTGCGGGCACGGGGCGTGTGAGGGACAGCCCTGCCTCACCCCTAGCCACTCCATTTTGAGGGGGAACAGCCCCAGCCCAGTGCATGCACCCCAGTGCCCCCACACCTGCCCCACAAGGCACAAGACCCACAGGTGTGGCCTTTCATGTACACGGCCCGGGGACCCCTCAGCTCAGGCCAGCCCCATGGCGTGTACAAGGCTGGGCTCTCCCCAGTGTGTCCCACGTGTGTGCAAGCTCCAGGCAGCCACGTTCACCTTGCACCTGTGCCAGCCCCGTGCTCCTCAAGGTGTGCAAGCCCCAGGACCCACGTGTGTCCGCTCGTGTGCAAGCCCGTGACTCCCCGTGCACCCCGCACAAGCCCCGGGGTCCCCCCCGTGTCCCCGCTCACGTGCACGTAGAGCGCGGCTGTGGCGGGGGCGGCCGTTTCTGGGACGGGCTCCGGGGCCGGTTCCACGGCAGGACCCGGCCCCGGTGCTCGTCCCGGGCCGCCCCCGCCGGGCAGAGCCGCAGCGACAGCCGCCAGCTTCCGCGGCCACCCCCGCGCCGCCGCCATAGCCCCGCGGCACCGCCCGCACCGGGCGGGCACCGGGCGGAGCCGCCCCCGGCGTGCGCGGAGCGGGGCGGGGCGCGGGGAACGGGGGAGGGACCGGAGACAAAGTCCTGCTCTGCCGACGGGGCTGTGCGGAGATGCTCGGTGTGAGTGACGGAGCTCTGGGATCAGTGTCCTCCCCCGGAGCCGGGAATACCGGAGTCTGTCCCGGTGCCGGGGATGCCAGGGCCAGTGTCCTCCCCAGTGTCATTCCCTAGTGTCCTCTCCCAGTGTCCTCTCCAGACGCACGGTCCGAGCGAGGTTTGGGACCTGCCCCCGCATCCTTCCCTGGCTGCTCCTCGGGCCGGGAAAGGTTTTCCAGCGTTTCAGCAGAGGAAGGTGGCCTGTCCCCACTCAGGGTTGTACAAACACCCTGACGTGAGTAGTTGTGTCTATTAATAGACATGAGGAACTCTGAAATCCCCATGACAAAGGCTGTGAGTGCAGATTCCCCTTCCCAGCCCAGAAACACGTAGTTCGGCGTGATGTAACCTTCCCACACCGGGGAGTTTCCCAGCAGGCAGTGAGGAGTATAAGAGTGGGACTCAGGCACGGGCAAGGTAGAAGCCATGGAGAGAGCCTGGAGCACTGCACACACTGAGACCACACTGCCAGCCACAAGGGCCAGCTTTTCCTCTTCTGTGAGTATTTACAGCCGGGGATGCATCATCCGAGGGGTTGGGAAGGGCCAGAGGACACCGCGGGAGGTGTCCTGGCTGGCGAGGGATGGATATGTTCTGGGGAAGGCATGGGATGGCAGGGAAAACTTCCCTGCCTGGGACCAGGCTCTGCCAGGGTTCAGACCCATGGATGGTGCTGCCCCACTCCCAGAACAGGGGCAGGAGTGGGGTGGCAGGGACTGTTCCCCCTGTGCTGGCTGTGACCAGGACTCATTGGTTTTCTCAGCAGCGTGTCTGTCCTCACGAGCCGGAGCTGATGTCACCTTCATTTCTTATCCACTGCCCCCCAATTACGGTGAGTACATGGGGCACCTGTACTTCATGGGGTCGTGCCAAGGTTGGAGATATTGATCAGGGAGGGGAGGAGAAGCTCCACTCACTGCAGGCGTGTTCTGCACCTGGGTTAGTGCTGTGGGAAGCAAAAGGAGGTAAGCAGTCCTTCCCTAGACATCAGTCTCACAGGCCCTTTGTGTCCCCAAGGTCCCTGGCTGTAGTTGCTGTCATGCAGGTAAAAGTTCATCCCTCGGGAAGGAAGGTTACAGAAGTAACCAGGGAATGGAGGAGACCTGAGTGAAATGTGTTAAGGATCAGTGCTGAAACCAGCCTCACGAGCAGTGTGGGAACAGGAGAGGAACTTGCTGGAAAGACACTGTACAGAAGAACTCTGACACAAACCATCCATGTTTTTTTCTCTCAGAAAGCAGACATGGACCAGGGACTTCTTCCCACCGTCTGCTTCCATGGGTAGAGCCCACAGTCCAGCTGCAAGATGAAGGATTGAGACCTCGCTGATGTTTCTCCTCTCTCTTTGCTGCACCATTGCCCTCCACTCACTGGAGGAAGTCACAACGTGGAGGGGGCCCAGCCTTAGCTCTGCTGGGAAAGGAAGTGGGAGGTCAGCGAGAGTTGGCAGCAACATTATCTGCTTTCCAGCTGGGGTGGGACACTTCTGCTGGCAAAGAGGAGGTCTGCTGTCCCTCTTCTCACAGGAGTGTTTCATGGTTGGGAGGTACCAAATAACTCCCGTAAAATGCTGTCCCAGGTACACTCTGCTGCCAATGGGACAGTAATTTTGGTATTTCTGCAACAACCTTACTGTCTATCTTGTTTAAAACAATAAAATAAACAAAGCCATGTCTACCTTGCAGAAGTTTTTTTTTTTTGAAACATCTGGGGGAGGTGTGGGAACAGAGTGAGCTTTTCCAGACAGTTTTAGGGAGCCCCACTGCAAAGTCTCATTCTCTGAACCCCCTGCCCCTCATTTCAAGTTCAGTCGCTCTTAAATGACCCAGGAGTCTTACAACATACAAGAAGAAAAGGCATCACCTACCTTGCGAAGCCAGGCCAGGGCATTTTGACTTGAGTGTCAATAAAATACCCACCAGCATCTGCAACTCCTGTGAAATGGCTGCAGCCAAACTGCTCAGAGACACACGACATTTTTAAACCTTCATAAGGTCTTTCAGTAACTGGACAGAATTCCAGAAATAAGCATCCCTTCCTCACACACAGTATTTTTGTTGGCAAAGAAACAAACCCAACTGGGAAAAAGAGGTGCTCTGTTTTATTCACTAAAAGTGCCATCAGCCTGATGTCAGGGAGGGAAAGTCTCCACTGCTTAGTCCAAGGCACAGGTGAAAAGCAGACTCAGAGCTGACTGAAATTCGGCTGATTTATCCTGGTTTTTGCTCTGCCTTCCCAATATCAGAGCTGCAGGTGCTTCTCCATCTGCTCCCTCAACTTGTATTTCTGAATCTGGAATAGAGGGCAGAGAGGAAGGAGAAGGGCTCAGAGAGGAGCTGGGACAGAATGCCACGGTTCCTGCCCTGTCCCAGCCCCCTCTTACCTTGCCTGAGACAGTGAGTGGGTATTGGCTCACAAACACAACATAACGTGGGATCTTGAAATGTGAGATCTGGGAAGAGAAAAACCAGGGCTACACAACCTGAAAGGAACAGCCTGGCACTGTCAGGGCTGGGTCCCCCAGTGCTCTAACTCCATGGGCTTTTATCCACCAGTCCCCAGCAGCCACGGGGTGTACTGGTCTGGAAGGAAACTGAGGACTGGGAACTCACCTTCCCTTTGCAGAAAGCTTTAATCTCTTCCTGGGTGCAGTCCTGCCCAGCCCGCAGTCGGATGCAGGCACAGATCTCTTCTCCCATCCTCGAATCCTTCACACCAACCACCTGGTTGGGACAGATGGACAGTGTGAGTGACCCTTGGGGACATCCCTGGCCTCCCACAGGGTCTGTGTGCTGGCCCATGCATGTTCCCTGACCTCTTACCACAGGGTGCTAGAGAACCGTGGATGCAACATGGACCTGTCATCCCTCTGCTTCCAAAACACTGGGGCAAGAGGTTTTACAAACAACAAGGAGACCTGGTAGGCTGCCACGAGTGCTTTGGGATCTCCAGATGGAATGGCAGGGAAGGGATGAGGTTGAATTAAAGGATTATTTGAAACCCTTATAATCACAGATCTCAGTGGGCCATTGGCTGTGACACCAGGAAATGGGCTTCCCAAGCCTGAGCTCTCTCCAAAGTTTGATTCCACAAGAATCCTACTGTCATTCCCCGCCTTGAACCAGTATCTCAAACTGCTAGAGACACGTTGATCCTTTTGAGTCCAGAGCAGTGACATAAAGCCCTAGAAACCACATAAACAGGGCTGGTTTGCAACCCATCTGCACTGGGACTGCTCCAAAGAGAGATGCTTGCCTGGCATAGGCAGAACTCTGACTAAATAACCCGTTTATTTATGGGGAAACTTGTCTGGCACAAAACCTGGAGAACAATCCCAGCAGACGGGGAGCAGCTGCTCAGTCCTGGAAATCTTTGCTGTCTTGTGAAGGAGTGAAACAAAGTCTCACTCCTCATCTCCAGGGACTTGTTGGGAGAGTCTTCCAGGATGTTAGAGTTGAGCAATTATCAGTAAAAACTGTCCTTCCAGACTGCTTTCTGAGTAAGAATTTCAGGGGGAGCTATGGAAGCAGACAGGCAGTTTAAACCTGAAGAATGAGAGGCACTTTACAGATGTGCAGCTGGAACACAAAGGGATTTCCACAATCCATATGCCCCAAGCTAGGAGCTCTGCCTGCCCCTTCCATCCCATGAGCCTCTCCCTCCTCCTTGTTAACCAATATTACATGGAATTTGATGGAGAAAACAGGGAAAGACAACGAGGTTCCAAGCAGCAATCCCAGAAGCTTTATGTACAGGATTCCCAAAAACAGCTGCTCACCACCCCACCTCCTCCCACTCACCTGGACCTCCTCGACCTTAGGATGGGTGTGGAGGAACTGCTCAAGTTCTGCTGGGTAGACGTTCTCTCCTCCCCGAATAATCATGTCCTTGCAACGCCCTATAATTTTGCAGTAGCCGTGCTCATCCAGGCTCGCGAGGTCCCTGCAATGACAACACCCTTCTGGTCCTGTCCCAGCCGGGTGGAATGGCTGATGCTCCCACCCAGCCAGGGTGGTATCAGAGGATAATGGCTGAGATGCCACCTGAACACATGGAAGAGATCAAACAGCTCCTGTTACAGAAATTGGCAGCGTCCACACAAGCACCAGGGTTTAGGGGAGAGGCAATGCCTGCTCCTGCCCTGTACCCCCACAGTCCCTCCATCCACAAGTGGCCAGTGGCAATCCCCCTCTCCAGGGACACTCAGCACCGAGGGCTCTGTGCTAAAAGCCGTTCTGAAGTGTCACAGACAGGTCAGAGGGATAAACTGGGGCAGTTTTCTCTGCTTTGGAAATCCTATACATACCCATGCATCCCCATCCAGTGGGACCATCTGGGAGAAGTGGGGCTATTCTCAGACTCACCCTGTCTTGTACCACCTCTCAGCAGTGATCACTTCACTTGTCTTGGCAGGGTCATCCCAGTAGCCCAGCATGACACAGTAGCCACGGATCAGAAGCTCCCCAGGAGTGTTCAGAGGCACAGGTTTCCCTGTTTCTGGATCCTCGATTTTTGCCTGGAAGAGGAGAAAGGCTTAGTTAGATACCAGTGCCAGACAGGGAGGATGGAGTGAGGTGTGCTGCTGGCAGAGCACCTGGAGCATGTGGGAAAGGTCATGGTCACCTCTGTGTGGGGAAAGATGTATCCCACTGTGTCAGTTCTCCGGTCAATGCTGTCACTGGGGAACCCCATGAAGGTGACAGGGCTGTTTTCTGTGGTCCCATAGGCAACCTGCAAACACAGGAGAGGAAATGTGTCTCAAGGGGAAAGGGGACCACACAGCTTCAGGCACAGGAAAGACAAAGCTGGTCATGACTTCAGGGAAGAGTGGGGTGTGGGGAAGATGTCCTCCCAAGCCACTCAGGGGACAGGAAGCCCTGCTCTGCTGGCTGTGGATGGGCTCTCTAGACATTTCTGCCAGAGAGTCTTGGAGAAACAGGAGCTAAAGCATCACTGCACCTGCCTGCCATGGCCTTCTTCACCTCGCTCACAGTGCTCCAGACCCCATCACCCACAACACTTGGGGTGTCATGTACTTTTCACACCCTAACTGCTATTCTTGGAGGACTCCAGGGTTTGCCATCCTCTTTTTCAACCCTTGCTTCTCCAAGCACTGTCCTGTTGACTCCACACCATCTCTGCCAGACACTGACTTTGCCTTGCACTCAGCCGAGGTGCTGAGTTCACCTTGCATCTCTAACAACTCAGGGAACATAGGACATCACTTTGGAAAAACCCTGGAGCCAGCAGCAGACTTCTGTGGGAGACAGTGTGTCCTGCAGCATGGCTGCTTGCTGCAGATCCTTTTGTGCAGACATCAGTCCCTGAAACCCTTGTAAGAGCATCACGAGGTCACTCAACACTTGGCACAGCTGCCCTTACAGACCCAAAGCCTCACAGTGGGACAAACGCTTCTTGCTGCTAAACCTCCCTCACAGCTAATCCCGATGGCAGGCTCTGAGCCACCTCAGCTCAAGGTCACTTCTCCTCAGAGGAAAATTCCAGTGCTTTATGCCGAGCTCAGGGGCCAGGCTGAGACAGCAGGAGCTGCACAGGAGGTGCCCTGGGCAGCTCTGAGCTGCGCCAACATCTCTGGGATTGCTGCTACAGCCCCAGCTCTTGGGAGCTGTATTTCAGCAGTGGGAGCTGCTGGAGCACTGCTCTGGTGTCTCTGACCCACTCAGAGTAATGTCACCCCAGTAATGTCACCTGTGGCTGCTTTGCTGGGAGAGCATGGCTGTGAAAAGGCTGATGTGGGAAGAATTTCCTCATTTCTCCTCCGGTTCTCCAGACTGACACATGAGCAGCTCTGACCCACCAAATTGCCCTGGCACCCAGATCTGGTCAGTTCCTTCAGAGTAAATGCCCAGGTGTGCCTACATGGCCATGGCTTGGGCATGGTGCTCACCCAACTCCAGGCACTGTGCCCCAAATTAATGTAGGGCTTTGCAAAGGACTGTGAAAAGGCACGTGAACACGGATGAAAATATCCTGAATGAGCTGAAACAACACTGGTATAATGTGTAATAACACTGGAGCTCTTGGCACTTTCCACTGCATGGAGCTGCTGCAGGATCTCATGTTGGGCACAGTCTGTCACAACGGCTGATGCTCTTGTTGTCTGCACCAGGGTCAGCATGAATCCAAGCTGGAGCCTGTGGAATCTGGAGGAGAACTTCTCCAGGATGCCACAGGGACCATCTGGTGCAAACTGCTCTGCTTGGAGCCTGGCAGTCCCCAAGGAGCAACTGCGAACAGGCTTGTGCTCCCAGACACAAGGACAACTTCCCAGCCGGGTGCAAACCCACAGCGTCTCATGCTCAGACTGCATTTCTCTCCCACCCACTAATACAAATCCTGTGGCTGGATCAAATGACCAGACCCAAATCCAAGATCTTAAACACTTATTAAAAATCCCAGTGCCTTTGTTTTTTTGTTTTGGATGAATTGCAGTGTTGGTGCCAGGATCCCAGCCAAGCCCTGAGTCAATCCTTGCTGCCTCTTTGGGTTGCTCCAGCAGTTTAATTGGATGCAGGAGCAGGCAGCTCCCTGGCAGGATGATCCTGTGAGTGCTGTGGCTCACCAGGCTCCTCCAGATGCCTGGCACTGTGCCCTGTACCCCAAACACCAGCTATTGATGCCTTGGCCTGTGGCTTGTCCCCATAAACACCCTCACA